TAATATCACCAAATCTCTGTTCTCTTCTGGGGGGGGGGAACTTGGCCATCCCATTGTCTTTAGCTAGAGCTATTAGCATTTGTAAAAAGGGTGGCTGAGGTAGGGCTGGAAAGCCATTGAAATGACTTCCCTCTTCCTGACAGTTCTCTGAGAAAAAATAAAAAACAACAACTGGTGAAGGTTTTATTCAGTGCAAACCTCCAAAGAAAAAAATGCATTTCTTCACACCCCTACTCCTTCTGTCTTGGTGGTCCTGATTAGGTGAGCAGACAAGTGGCAAACTACACACATATTTTTATTTATTGATTTTATTGATTTTTATCCCGCCCTAGGCTGGCTCAAAGCAGCTTACAACAGAATAAAATTCTCATAGTCCATAAAACACAATTCAGTACATTAATACAATTCCTAGTCTCTCCTTATATATAAAAGGGATTTGGAGAGGCTTCTGTCCTCTGGGGTGGCGAGATTGCATGTGCTCTCTTGACTCCATTATTGTCCACAATTTCTTTCCCCCCATTAACTATTTTACTTATAATTTTGTTCTCCCGCCTTTTTTTCAATTGCCACGCCAAAATTTTTCCCAGTTTATTTGCCCCTTCAAAAGATTTCTGTTGTAGCCTTTTCAAGTTCCAATAAATTTCTTGGTTCATTAATGTATTCAGTTGTTCTTGTAGAATTTGAATTTCTCTAATTATTTTCTTTTCCCCCGGCCTTTTCTTTAATTCTCTCTCCTTTACTCGGATTTTTTCCAACACCGTAGTTTGCTGTTCCAGTCTCTTTTTTCTTTCTCTACTGTTCAAAGATATTAATAGTCCTCTCATTACTGCTTTATATGCATCCCATACTGTTTGAATCTGTATATCTTGGGTCATATTTATTTGAAAAAACTGTTTGGTTTCTTTACTTATAATATCTACAATCTCTTGTTGATCCAACAAATCCTCATTCAGTCCTCATCTAGGTTTCTTCTTTCCTTCTTTTGAGACTACTGTAAATGTTTGTATATCATTAAGTTTTACAAGGCATACAAACCAAAGCTATACAATATCTCAATGATAAAAAGAATTGTAAAAGTTAATGATATACAGACATTACAGTTTGAAACTACTGTAATGTTTGTATATCATTAAGTTTTACAATTCTGTATATCATTGAGATATTGTATGGCTTTGGTTTGTATGCCTTATTGATATTTTGTATACTCAGAAATAATTTTCAAGTATAAAAGTGACTGTACATACTTAAGTGTTTGAGTGGATCCATCATATTTTTTTGCCCCAGTCTTGTTATTTTTGTAATGCTTAAATGCACAAGATTTATAGTGTTATGTAGATTTGGTTAGATCTTCCTACCTCTTCCTCTAGCTTATATTAAACCTTTTTAAAAACAAGAAGAGATTGGATTTATACCCCACCCTTCACTACCCGGAGTCTCAGAGTAGCCTACAATCCCTTCCCCTTCCCACAACAGACACAGTGTGAGGTAGGTGGGGCTGAGAGAGCTCTTTTGAGAAGCCGCTCATGAGAGAACAGCTCTGAAAGAACTTGTAACTGACCCAAGGTCACCAATAGCTGCATGTGGAGGAGTGGGGAATCAAACCCGGTTCTCCCAGATTAGAGTCCGCGCTCCTAACCACTACACCAAACTGTTTTAAGATTATCAATCATAAAATTTCCCAGTTGTGCTCTAGATTTTGTGGAATAGTCGTACTGGAGAGAGGGTTCAGTCTTCAAAAACCCTAAATAAAACAATTGATTTTTAGAAGAGTCATGAAATGGTTGGGCATTTGCAGTGAGTAGAGGGTGCCGCTCTGGTGGTGCTCTCCGCTGTGTTTCAAAGGTCAAATTCACCTTCCTGTGGTGGAGTGGCACAGCAGGAGACTCCTCAGTTTCTAAAGAGGAGAGAATGAAAAGAAAGGAAAGTTTCATTTAGAAGAAAACAAAAAGGAATGAAAAGCCACAAAGTGATGCAAGCATGGGGTGGGGGGAATAGTTGTATTGCTTACCCTCTGAGACATACAACCACACTTCCACTCTGGACCCATAGCTGTGAGTATGCTGTTTTCCTCTTTAACAAAACATTGTGGCTTGCATGCTGGGGGAAAAGGTTAAACCTGTGTCTCAGAAGCTCTGCTTGCAGTGAGATGTCTGAGTAACCGTGCATTTTGTTATACCTTGGGCCGCATTATCCAAATCTAGCATGATTCATGCTATTCATACTAGAAGACTGGAAGTTTTTAATCCCTAGTATGAACCTGGGTTTATTTATTTAAAACATTTTATGCTGCCTTTCCACTCAATTTGGGACCTTTAGGTGGTGAACAATTAAAAAATAAGCTTTAAAAATGTTACATACAAATAAAATCAACGATTAAAAACAGGCAAGAACAGGGGTCATTAAGGAGTACGTTAGATGAAATGGAAACATCTTCACCTGCTAACAGAAGACAGTGATTGAGGGGATAGATGAATCTCCATGATAGGGAGAGAGTTCCATAATTTTGGTGCCACAACTGAGAAGGCCCATTTTCAGGTGGCCATACAAAAATAGTCCTCTATTAAAATAATTAAAATACATCATTTAGAGTGCAGTCCTAAGCAGAGTTGTGCCAGTTGACTTAAGTGGAATACAAAGGGTATAACTCTTATTTGGATTGCGCTGTAAAACAACTAAATTAAAACAGATGAGCCAGAGTCTACATCTGTAGCCTTCAAGCTGCCTCATAAACTCTCCTAAACACTTCTGTCTCACATCCTTGCTGGAAGAGTTCCAAGGGTAGGTGCCTGCCTCACCCTTTCTGGGAGGATGTTTCACAGTAGTGGAGCTGCAGCAGAAAAGGCCCGGGCTATAGCGGATTGTATCCTTAAGAACAAGGGGACTGCTAGGGGATCCTTTGTGAGGAATGCGGTTGCCTCAGAGGGTCATATCAGGAGAAATGGTTTAAGTATTTGGCCCACAGGTGAAGGACTTCAAAGGTAAGCGCTAGCACCTTAAATTGGACACATAAATAAATAGGCAGCCAGCGAAATAAATACATTGAATTAGAATTTTGTCTTTTGGAAATGTATTTTAAGGTGGTGGAGAAAATGCTTGTGCAAAGAAAAGCCATGAAAGGTACCTTGTAGCATTGAAGGGTTCTGGACTGACATTTCCTGAAGATAAACTTGCCAGTGGAGTGCAGGAACAAGGAGCTGGGGCCAGCACTTCAGCAGTTCAAGGTTGGTGCAATTTTTCTTTTTAAACAAAAAATGTTGTTAAAATTAAGATCTGAAGCATTTTGTGAAGCATTAATTCACTCGACAGATAAAAAAATAACCTCTTCTGAGGTCGAATATGGGATGTCCTTGAAATTATACAAGTTTGAGGGACATAAAGTGAAGCAGAACCTTGATTCAAGTTCCAAAATTAAGGACTAGACACAACCTAATCTGGTTTCTTATTTAATGGAAACTGAAGTTCTCCCCCCTCTTCTGTTTGTTAGGAAATGTAAAATTTGGAATGACTGCATCGTTGTGATGATTCAGTGGCATTTCTGCAGCAAAATGCCTTCGTGCCCTGTTCTGCGCATAACTGCCGAATAATAGGCAGTGGTCCCTCAAGAATTCGGCACTTTTCCTGCTAGGTTTTCCCTTTCAGTTATGGTCATATTAGTCCACCCCTTACTTGAATGCTTAATAACTCTCAGATTATGCATTTGTCCAGTTATGTGCAAATTTATAAAGGATATTTTAATTTTTAATTTCACAAGGTTGTACAGGTGCTACACCCGCTTCAGGGCAAGGTGATTCTTCAGATGAGGTGAGATTTCTTAAAAAAATAAAATTGAATATTTGTCGTTATGTGAAATGAATTAAATTCCCCAAGCCTCTCCTTTTGTTAAGTTTCACTAACAAGTAGAAAGTGTTTGCTTCAGGGCTGTAATCTGTTAGGTGGGAGAGAGGTATTTGCACAGTCAGTCCCTCTCAGCTTTCTCCCACGAGGAGGATGGTAGCTCCTACTGTTTTCATTGAACTAAATTTAGATGCAATGGGAACTGGCACAGTTGATAGCAGCTTCTGGTAATATGCTCACTCATTACCATGCCAGTCTTGTTTGTTTGGAGCAGGTTTTAATTTGAGTTTCGTAGAAAAGGTTGTCTGGGTTCTCTCTACCTCAGTTCTGTAGCTGAACTAATATTAGCAATCAGGAGGGTTTTTTTCACCCACTTTGCCAAGAATCTATAGGGAAGAAATATTTAATTTTAGAATTAACTATGCTATGCACATAATTGATGATCTTCATACATCATAGTATTTCATACATAATAGTTTTTCAAGACTAACCTACTAAAGGGTCTTAGAATTGTAGATGCTCTTCTGGGCTAGAGGTTCTTTGCACCAGTGGTGAGCTTCTCTGCTCTATAAACAGCCTGTCTGGTAGTGGAGGAGAGAGAAACAGGGAAAAGAAAACTGCCTTCCCATCAGCTGCAAGCTCTATCCTGAGGTGCTGTTGATGGCTGGACAGGAAAGATTTAGTGGCTGTGTTTCCTTCACATGCGTGTTGCTGCTGCTATGGGCAGAGACCATCCTCTGGTTTTAGTCTCACCAGAGCATTTTTTAAAATACGTGGATGGAATGAGGTTACTATGACAGAACGGGCCTTCCTTCCTTCCTTCCTTCCTTCCTTCCTTCCTTCCTTCCTTCCTTCCTTCCTTCCTTCCTTCCTTCCGAATGGCATGACATCCACAGATTTTGCCACTGAGGCTTTTCCTGGAGTTGAGGCAAGTGTTAAGAAAAGCTTCAGCCTGTACATTTTTGTACATCTGATTGCTGTAAAAGAGGTTGCTGCAGCTAAGAAGGTTGGAGGCCCTGTTTGTAAACCCTTGTTCTCAACTTGTTCTCAATATTTACAGAAGACAAAAGTACCCATTGCTATTTCAGACTTAGTTTTCCGTTGTGGTTGCAGAACTATAACATGTCAAATGCTTCAAACACAAGATGTAAAGGGTTCTGCTTTAGTCTTAGCCACATGAAAGCAGTTGTGGAAAGGGAAATAATAATTTGTTTATATCCATAGCATTTTTGTGTGTGTTGGGATGGGGGGGGAATGTTTATGTTGTCATTTAACAGAAGTGTCTGCTGTGTTTCAGTAGTGCTATTTATAAATTGACATTTTTAAAAGTTACCAACCTGCTGTTTTTTGGCAGTCCTAAAAGCTTCAAAACTAACATTTTTTGCGTTACTGACAAACTAGAAAAAAAGCTTATATTTGCTAGTTTCTGTCTACTTTATTACGGGGGAATATGTAAGGTAATGATTTAGATAGGGGTCAGATAGGACAATCAGGGGGAAGATGAGAATGGGGGACTAGGGACATTCTGAGTTCCTGTTTGTGGTGATGGGTAGTAAGGATCATTTCACTGAGAAACTTCTGAAAATTTCAAAAGAAAAGAGCCAGAGTATGGGGGTGGGGGTCTAGGAAGTGAACTGAGTATCCTATACTTCCTGTTCACTGGATTATTTAATTGTGCATTTCTAGTATTTAAGTGCATAAGGATCATTAGCAGATTAATGCCAGCATGTACACATTTTATTATGTACAGACAACCTTGTTAAATCAAAAGATACCTAATCCTGTAACTTGGCTACCAGAAATCAGTCAAAGTCTTTGACAGTGTACTTGTAATCTTACCTAGCAAGTATATATTAGCAGTTCCAACTCTAGTTCAGTGCTTCTGCATACAAGTGATCTAAAATAAAGTGGATTAATAGCACAAGGTACGAACTCATTTCTCACATTCTTTGAGTGGTGTATCTGTGCGTGTGCTGTACCTTATTCATTCAAAATGGTTTATATGATTTAAGTTGGATCCAGTTCATGCAGCTGCATGAAAGCAAAATCCAAAACCAAAGTGTTTTGCCATTCAAAAGCAAAAATTACTTTTGCCTTGATATATTTCTGCCATATCATTTAGCAGTAATGCCTGTACTTGATCTAAAGGCAGACAATACGAGACAGTCAAAAGATAATTACTGCATATTTGCCCTGATCTGTGTAGTTGGTACCAGTTAGTGGTATTGTTGATCCTTCAGAGTTGCCTCTTTGGTACATGAACACTGTTGATGCTTTGAGTCCCAGTCATTGTACTTGACTCTTTAAAGCTATAAGAACCATGGTTATTACATGGGGAAGGGTAGATATTTAGGAAAATACATCTGTTTGAAAAAATATTATGCTCTTATGCTAATACGTTGTAGTTGTCTAAACTTTCAGCATGTTGGTGACAGAAATTCCCTTGTCCATAAAGAAAAACAACAACTTTGGTTCTAGAACATACTTTGGGACTCTTCTTTTTTTGTACAATATATTTTATTGAGTTTCCAAATAGTACAATAGGATACAAATATCATAACATTTAGTGTGTAACATTTTGCAGTTGAGAAAGTAAAACATTTAAAGGTAAGTATTAAACAGTAATACATAAACTGAATCTTACAAATAGATGTAGTGAGCTTCATTACATCAATTCTCTAAAGTAAGTTGATGACCGTATGTTTAAGGGAAAGAAAAGCATAAGAATTAAGATCATAATTAATTGCATAAAACAGAAGTATTGATTTTACCACAACCATAAATCATCTACCACCTTTGGAATATCGGAGTTTTCAGTTAGGTATTTTAAGAGAGGGAAACAAATGGCTACAAACGATGTAGGTAATCTGTCAAAGCGCGTAAGATTATCCGAGAGTTTCACCATAACATATAAATCCCACAATTTATTATGCCATTGTGTAGGCGTGGATGCCATTGCCGTTTTCCAGTGCGTGGCAATGGCCGTCTTAGCTGCAAAAAGCATTAGGGAGACCGATTCTACAGTTGCAGAAGCAGAGCCCTGAACTGCCCATCTGTTCAAAAACAGGTGTTCTGGTATGGGTAGGATTTCTATCTTGTGAAATGATTTGGTCTGTTTCAACACTGCCTCCCAGAATGGGAGTATTTTCTGGCAATCTACCCAGCAATGCAGGTAGTTGCCCACGTTTCCACATTTCTTCCAACAGTTTGGACTGCATGTTGAGGACATTTGTGCCAGTTTGTATGGGGTGAGGTACTTTGGGACTCTTCTGACAGTACTTAAACTGCAAATGTTACAATCACTATCTAGTTGGACTGGTGTTCTGAGCCTCTAAACACACATTTTTAATGCCGTGTACTGAAACCCACAGTATTCACCTTTAGGTAAATATATTTAGAGTTGGGGTATGAGTCACATATGGCCTAAAAGAGCAAAATATGACAATATGTACCAAATCTTTAAACATATTATAAAACTGTTTGCTCAATAATTTGTTTCTCTGTTTTCATTCTCGCTCATGGCAGTTCTATGAAGACATGTTACCTTGAGCCAAATGATCCAGAGGTACAAAATAAACCTCCATAGTTTAGGTTGTGTATTCATGAGGATTGTTAGTAGCAGCAAAGCCAGTAGCTGAAAAGGCATATAAAGGCACTACTGTGAGGAAGATTACTAAACAAAACTTGAGTTTTGAAATTATGTTTGAATTAGTTTGCTACAGTTACCAAAATATGTTTGACATTAAATGGTTTCCAGGGTCCTTTGTTTCCATAGTGTTTTTCGTTCAAAAATGTAGTTAAAGAGTGCGAGGCCTCTAACAGTAAGGTATTTATATTTCTCCACTTCCAATTTTTTCTCCCTACCTCAGGAGGACCAAGATGGTAGCCAAGGTGTGGGAAAGCGCAAGAGGGTGAAACTAAGCACCACCACTAAAGGTACATGTCAGATTGTGTTGGGATGTTGAAGTAACCAAGCCTTGTTTAAGCATCATTTTGCCACAGGCCAAAATGCATTCAGGAGTATAATAAGATAATATGAAATACTTTTACTAAAGATTATGTTTACGGTATCCAACCCAGTGACTGCTACCCTCTTTGTCCTAATTATAGCTGTGTGTTAGAAGTGACCAAAAATTTCAGGGAGGCAAGACAAAAGTTTAAGTGAACACTGAATTTGCTGATTTTTTAAAAACATATTTGGGAAAAATATATAAGGCTCCAGATGTGCAGGAAATTTTATACAAGCTGAAAGAACATATTTAACTATGACCAGTGTACATTTGCAATAAATAATTTGGACACCATCCTTCCTTATGCAAAGGCAGTGCTTGAACACAGTTTTATCACTAGCGCATGAAAGGATACCCTGATAGACAAAGTAGGAGATGCAGGTGCTTGTATGCATTGTTGAAGGTATTAGTTACCACTGCTAGTCTCTTACCAGAATGGCATATGTTGAAAATAAATCCAAGGCTACAGAATCAGCAGAGCCCTGACCTGGATAGCTCAGATTAGCCCGATCTCATCAGACCTCGGAAGCTAAGCAGGGTTGGCCCTGGTTAGTACTTGGATGGGAGACCACCAAGGAATACCAGGATCACAACACAAAGGCAGGCAATGGCAAACCACCTCTGAACATCTCTTGCCTCAAAAACCCCATGAATCCAGCTTCCAACCCTCAATGGGACACTGCTGTTGCCAGTGCCAAGGGTGAAGAGCTTAGGGGTGCTCCTGGATCCCTCTCTTTCAGTGGAGGCCCAGGTTGCTGCAGTAGCTTGATTGGCCTTCTATCATCCACGACTGGTCAGGCAACTGGTTCCCTATCTCACGTCCTAGGACTTCGCTACAGAGATCCATGCAGGGATCACTTTCATACTGGATTATTGTAACTTGCTTTATGTGGGGCTGCCCTTGAACTTGACCCAGAAACTGCAGCTAGTGCAGAACGTGGCAGCATGTATGCTAATGGCAACGCCATTGTGGGCTCACATTCAGCCAGTGCTGCACCAACTGCACTGGCTGCCAGTAGAGTACCGGATCCAGTTCAAGGTTCTGGTGTTAACCTTCAAAGCCCTGTGCGGCCAGGGACCTGCATATCTTTGGGATCATCTCTCCCCATATGTGCCCCACAGAGCATTGTGCTCAACTGCCCAACACCTACTGGTTGTCCCCAGCCCCAAGGATGTGTGGCTAGCCTCAACCAGGGCCAGTGCTTTCTTTGCCCTGGCCCCAGCCTGGTGGAAAAAGTTCTCACTTGAGATCAGGGCCCTGTGTGATCTGCTACAGTTCCACAGGGCCTGTAAAACGGAGCTGTTCCCCCAGGCTTTTGGCTGAGGCAGTGAACATCCAAATCCATCTCTGGCCTCCCCTATTGAAATCACTGGCTTCTTATTAGCCTAAATTGAGCATAGCTAATGAGGCTTTCGCACTGATTGTTGTTTTTATCATTTTTAAATGTTGTTTTTAGTTATTTAACTTACATGTTATTGTTGTCACGATTTTTGGTGTGATCTTGTAACCCGCCCTGAGCCTGTTCGTGGGGAGGGTGGGATAAAAATAGAAATAAATAAATAAATGAGAAGTCACCATAAGCTGACTGCGACTTGACGACAAAATATATAGAGAAAGAATCAGCTGAAGTACTGATTTTATCCAGTACTGATTCAAATTTGCACTAGTTCTACCAGTTAACCAAATCTCTCTATTAAAGTTAGAAAACACACACACACCAAAACAACCCCCAAACAAACCCTCTTTTGAAAGAATGGAATAAAAACTGGATCAAACCAGTATTCCAGCCATCATCTTGGCAATAATGGAACTTTTGCTGGGGGACAGGCTCCTGAAGAGCTTGAGTGGGAGGGAGAAGAGAGAATGTCTAATCTGTCCCTCCCTTGTTTCTACTGAAACTTATTTATAGTAGTAGCAATTGTGGCCTTTTTGTTCCTTGAGAGGCTTACTGTATGAAACGATGGTGGTCTTTAAGCAGAAATGACTGGGCATTTCTTGGCGAGAGAGGGAATGAGAACATGAAAATGATGCTGGAGTTAACAGCATCCTGAAGGATGGGCTTGATTTGAAATGGAAATTGACAGAGAAATTATTTCAGTCGTAGTGTGGTCGATGACTCTGGACAGGAAGAAGAATTTTATCATTGGGTGACGCTGAAAATCTCTGTGCCTGAAGTTGATGTAGTTGTTAGCAGGTAGAAAAGAAATGATGGTTTTAAAAAACTGTGTAGAGGAGGGGATGTTTGTAATTGAAAACTGAAGTATGATATTTTGGCTTCTAGGAAAAGTCGTAACTGTTCAGGACAATTTCTGACATACACATAGCACTCAGTGGGATGGACAAAGTGTTTGGAATTTTAACTTCAGCTGTTCTAGGAAACATCAAATGGACATGGAGAAAGAAAAGTGTTAGAGACAGCATTCAGCAAAACAAAAAAGGAGCATATTTTCTCTCTCTGTGGAGTACCACATCAAAGTTCCTTATTTTTCAGCTTCTGCTGTCCATTCGAATTTTCACTGATGCTTTTTTATTATTGTTGAATTTTTAAAAAATCATTTCAGGGTAACACTGCACCATCATTGCAACAGCAGTAAATCATCTGGAGGATTATATGATGTACTGATTGGCTAGAATTGGTGGTTTTTAAAAATCATAGTAAATGTGGGCTAATATCTTGAAATGCCGTGACAAATCTTATCACTATTTTTAAAAAACATGTTCCGTATTGGGCATTGATAAGCTTGCAAGTGGAAGGAAACCCCAGGTCAGCCTTTTCATGTACAATGGCTCATGGTGGTCCTTGTGGTTTTGGTGTAGGGTGCTTTGGGCAGTTAACCCCTTCCGAAAATGTCCCATTGACTTCTGTAACAGTTGCAGACTTAAGCTGCCTGCTGTATGCATTACCCTAGTCTACCCTTCAGGCAACATAAAAAACAGCTGTCTGAAGGAAGAAAAAAGGGTGTGTAATTAGTGGAGTGGATCCAACCATTCTCTAAGTAGCCTTTCTCTCACTTAAGGAGCCTTCTTCCAAATTAAGTGGCTTTTCTGTTGGAGGAAGAGCTACTTAAGTTGGAAGGAAGTCTTCTTTAATGGGAAGAAAACTTTTGACTTTGCTCTGTGGAGGGGTAGGATAGGGCTAGGATCCATCCTAGTATCATTTACACATCCCTTTCATGAATATGGCTTATACCTTGCACTTGATGTGTTGTGTCTGGTCTAAAAGTTAGTGCAAATTTTGGACTGTTTTCTTATCAGTGAATTTAGACGTACTGCTTTCTGTCATTTACCATACGTAATTGTTTTGTACAGCTGCAGTCATTAGATGTGACATGCACTTCTTGTTTTAAAAAGCCAAGTTAAGGTTGGTTGTTCTGTAGAGGAATAGTGTAGCGGTGTTTCATAATTTTAACATGTGATGAATCTACATTAGGAGAAGCCATTGAGTTTGATTTCAACTGAGCCCTGTGATTTTGTCAAAACTGAAATTCTAGCAAGAGACTGCAGTCTGCAAAAAGGTACCCCCAAGAGCCACTAGCAATCCAGAGGTTGTAGGCTGTCAGTTTATATTTTTAGTATCTGTCATGCCTAACCCCTAAAATATGTTTTAAGTTTTGAGAATAGAAGTGAACCATTCACGTCTCTGAATGGTGGTTACAGGGCTGGATCCCACCTAGATTTCTGTGCCTGCAAGGAAGATGGGTGGGTGATATTCTCCAATCCCCCTTGAGGAGAACTCCAGTCACTCCCCCATTTATTCCCGGGAGCCGCCTTGGGGCGGGGGCTGCCATGTTAGGAAAGGGATCAGCAAAAATCAGCCCCCTAAACCTGTGGAAATCTAGGCAGGCTCCAACCCACAGTGTGTAGAATTTGAAGTGAAAAGTTGTGTTCATTGCTCTGTATATTAGTTTGGCCACAGCTGTTCTTCTTCTTCCACACTTTTCTAGAAGTTGAGCAATAAACTCCTGAACCTGTGTGTCTCTTTACAAAGGGGAAAAAATAATATTGCTAAAATACGGAACCTTGTGATATTGTTTTCCCCTTAGCAACACTTACTTGTGATTTTATTATGCATTTTTATACAGATCAATCCATCATGGATGTTTTGAAGCATAAATGTTTTCTAGAAGAATTATTATTTTGGACAATAAAATATGAATTTCCCCAGAAGATGGTGACATTCTTACTCAACATGCTTCCAGATCAAGATTATAAGGTATCGGTGTGCTGCATCTTTGTATCCTATCAAAGTATCCCATTATAGGTTATATCTTGTGATTTATTGCGTCATATTATGATCTTTATGTAAGATGAAACAGAGAGCCATTGTGCTTTAATACAGGGGGGGTTGCAAGTAGAAAGTAGCACAGAAGAGAATAAATGGTCAAAACAAAATTGAAAGGAAGAGATTCAAAACCTGTACTAATTACAGCTATTTTTATGCACTACGGTTGAAGGAATACACCACATGTGTGCTATTGCTTTCCTGTTATGGGCTGTCTTTGTCTTATATAGTTGACAGTGAGGACTAGCTATTCCTACCCCTGTGGCAGCCATAGGGTGTGGAAGCCATCAGAAAAAGACAACAATTTTACCAAATTGAAATGGTTTCTTGGATAGCATCTGGACCTCATTAAAGGCCCCACTATCGAAATAACTTATTATGGAAATATATGCTGTAGGAATACATACTTCAGTTGATACCTAAATACTTGATCCTTATCTAAAGATCGTTCAACACTCCATTGTAACTAGACTTGCAGCTTGATCCAATGCAGAATTGGGTGCATCTGTTGAAATCGGTGTGCTTAGAATCTGACTACAAGTGGTTAGGGATTTGCACAGTATTTTTTAAATGCAAACACAGCCACAGGGAAAGAGAGTTGGGAAAGAGAGTTGGGTTTGGATGAGGGCCACCATGGTAGGAAGGGGACTAACTCTTTCCGCTTTGTATTGCTTTAAAAGAGCAAAGTACCTCCAGATCTCATCTGGAGAGGGCAAGAGTAGTACTTGTATGTCCCCCCCCCCCTCGCCGCCATGGTGCTTTAGTAGCGCTGGAGAAGATCATTTGCATTGAGAAAATTGGGGGGAGACCCTAAACTGCAGTCTTGTTCCACATGAGGTTTATTTATGTCCAGTAAGATAGATCCATTTGGTCAGCCATGCTGGTCTGAAGCAGTACAACAAAATTAGAGTCCAATGGCACCTTGAAGACCAACAAAGGTTTATTCAAGGTATGAGCTTTCATGTGCATTTGACAAAGTGTGTGTGCACACGAAAGTTCATACCTTGAATAAATCTTTATTGGTCTTAAAGGTGCCCCTGGACTCCAACTTTATTTATGTCCAGTGTTAAACTTGATTTAAAAAAGGAGGTCCTAATCACAGATTTCCCATGTCCTGTGTAATTGGGCTCTTAAGCATGCCTTCAATCTTCAGCCTGTATACTTGAGAAATATATTTTACCTCTTTGCCTATTCTACCCTGCCAGATTTTCTTCTTCATTCCCCCCCTCCATATCCCACACCTTACACATATGGATTTATAGTGCATTTTTGTTGAAATTGTATGCGTATCATAAGTATTTGTTGCTCTGCAATGTTGGGAAAACTGTTTACGAACACATTCTTGAATGTTGTGGTACGATTCTTCCCATCCTATACAAACCTTTGATGTTGCGGTAAGTGTTGGGCTGCTGAAACATCAGATATTTCTTCACACCATGAGAAAACATTCTGTTTCAGTTAATCAGGGCAAGAGCTTAAGGGAGGCCTATGATGTTAGTTCTTTCTGAGATTTCATGTACATTTAACAGGATCCTAGTTGCTGGCAAGGGTAAGTGGTTCAACCGGGCCTCCTGCTGTGGATTTTGTAGAACCTGCTGAGTTTGTTATTCTTTGCACATCATCTCTATGAAGAGAAAGGGAGGGAAAGGGTAAATGGTAATACGACTGTTTGTTTTACACCTTGTAGATTGCTTTTACGAAAACCTTTGTGCAGCATTATGCTTTTATTATGAAAACACTGAAGAAAAGCCATGAGTCAGACACAATGTCCAACAGAATTGTACACATCAGCGTCCAGCTGTTCAGCAACGAGGAGCTGGCACGGCAAGTAACAGAAGAATGTCAGCTTCTTGATATTATGGTTACCGTCCTGCTGTATATGATGGAGAGCTGCCTTATTAAAAGCGAGCTGCAAGGTTGGTTACGTTCCGATTTTTCCTTTAAGACATTTCACAAGGCTTTCATAGAATAGTGGTTCTTCTCCTCTTGTGTTTAGGCTGTGTTTTAATTACTGCCTTTTATTTTTGAGGTGTTAACCCCTCCCCATTTTACTATTACTGAAGACAAAGCTGGGTTTCGCACAGTTACAGATTAGTCCCAGTGGAGTTTTGTTATCCATGACTGTGTGCTTGAATTCAGTGTCCCTATATTGACTCTTTCACCCCCCCCAGCAATAAATCAGCAGTGTTTAACTTGCATCCGAGCTCTAAAGCAACCTTGGCAAAATATCTACAAAACTTATTAGCCCATAAAAATCTTTACCGTCCCTTGTCATATATCTGATAGCAATGGATAGCCCTCCCATGTGGATCAAACAAACTACCAGGGAGAATCCCAGGTTTGCAGAAACATATGAAAAGTTACAAAGCAAAAAACCCCTTTCCCCTGAGAGCTGCAGCATCTCTGCATGCACAAACATTGCATTAAAAAGTTATTCAAAAACATAAAGAAAGGGATTGGCCAAGGGTAGTGTGGTAGGAACTGTCTAATTGGGCTGGTAGGGAATGAGGGAGGTGACTGTGGTTAGGGGAGAGGGGAGGAAAATGAAGGGTCAGGTGGACAAACCAAAAGATGAAGAAGAGGGAAGGAACCGGAGGAGGGAATGGAATTTCCTGTGCTCAGTGAGCCTTCACATGTACCCCTCTTGTTCACCTATATTAGTCCTTTGAATTCAGGAAAAAATACCTAATTTTATAAAGTTTTCCTGCCTACATATTTAAACATGGCTTATATTTGTAACAGGTGACAAAATTTGTGGCAATTTACTAGCCCAATCTATGGACCCAATTACATGTTGCTTGGAACCACATATATCCATTGTTCCACATTTGCTTTTTAAAAACCAATAACCACTCTTAAGGCTGTGAGTTTCAGTGGAGGAAGGAGAAGCAGAGGCAGTTTACCCTTCCTGCTATTATTCTGCTCAACACCAACCCCCCACCAACTGGAGTGAAAAACAACTTCAGGAAGATGATAATTTCCAGCAGAAAAATGGCTTGGAAAGGAGGGCATCATATAGTCCCTGCATGTCCACTTCTACCTAGTGGCTGCTTTCAAGTAAAAATAGCATAAGAGAAAAAAATACCTGTGGATGCAACTAATGTGTACTCCTGTGTATGCTATTTGTGCTAAAATTCCATGTGCCAGTGTGGTGTAGTAGTTAGAGTGCAGGACTAGCATCTGGGAGGCCTGGGTTCAGATCCCTACTCTCCATGGAAACTTGCCAGGTGGGTGACCTTAAATCAGTCACTCTTTCTTAGCTTAACCTCCCTCACAGGATGGTTGTGAGGAGAAAATGAAGGAGAGGTGAACAATATAAGCAGCTTTGGGTTACCATTGGGGCAGAAAGCAGGATATAAATAAATAAATGTGCACATGGAGGTCCCCCCATGTGCCTGGTGAGGAAAGAGAAAGGAATCTTTGATGTGAATAAAGAAACTCGTATGTAGGTGACTTGTCTGTACTTTGGAGTGTAAAGGGTTCTGTGGATCTGCACAGGCAAAGGGTCCGTGTTGAGTAGGGATGGGCATGAACCGCATTTTTGTGGTTCATTTCGGTTCATGGCTGAACCATGAACCGATACAAACTGGAAGGTTGGTTTGTGAACTGAACAGGTTTGTAGTAGTTTGTGACTCCTGCTTCTCCTCCCCCCACCTTTGGCAGGGATCAGAAAGCAAGTGTTTAAATGGCTTGGAGCAATTTAAACCCCTGCTTTCTGGTCTTCATGAACTGCCACGAACTGCCTTAAAATTCATGGAAGTTCAATAAGAAAGTTAAGCACTTAATTATACATATAGTTACAGCAGCAAGAATTCTTTATGCTAAGTACTGGAATAAATCAGAGATCCCAGTGGAAATAGAACTTTTGATAAAAAAATTTGAAACAGCAGAAATGGATATATTGTTGGACTTGTTAAAAGACTGAAGCAAACAAAATGTGAGAGACAATTGGATACCATTCTATGACTGGGTGGAAAGAAACTTCGAAGACCAGGAGTAATGGATACAATGGATATTATAGACTTAGAGAAACTCTAACTTGAACTGTAAAGAACCTGACTTTTTCCAGGAATCACAATAGATGGTTTTAGTGGCTAAGCAATTCAAATCTTGCCTCTTCTGTGGGCTCACTAAATGGCTTTATTCTAACCACTCTTTCATAGCCTCAGCCCCCAGTCTGGAGTATGAAAGTAGTAATACTGACCTAATTGACAGGGTAGTATATAAAATTACCACCACATGTGAAAGATTCCAAACATTCAAATGCTATACAAATGCTAAATGTTACGGAGAGCTTTTGTGGTATGGTGCCTAAGCTATCTTAGAGCTTTTGTGGTATGGTGCCTAAGCTAGGACACGAGTGATTGAAGCTCACATCCTCAGTCACTGACATGTATCCCAACACTCCACTGAGCAAAGTTGGAGGCCTTGGTTCCATCTAAAGAGCCTTCCTCCAATGGAAGAGCTCCTTAAGCCCCTCAGGTAGGATACATGCCAACATCTCTCAGCCTAGCCTGCCTTAGATGGATAAAATGGGAAATGGTGTGTGTGTATGGAGGGAGCCATATATGCTACCCAAATATCCTTGGAGAATAGGTAAAATATTTTTAAAAACCCAACAGGTAGATAATAAGTATGAGCTTAACTGTTTAATTTTCTTCCAGATGAAGAAAACAGTTTACACGTAGTAGTGAACTGTGGAGAAGCTCTGCTGAAGAACAATACCTACTGGCCGCTTGTTAGTGACTTTATTAATATCCTTTCACACCAAAGCGTGGCAAAGAAATTCTTGGAGGATCATAGGCTATTAGTAATGTGGATGAACTTCGTATCATTTTTTCAAGGTATGTGATGTTTGACTTTCAGTAACTGTGTGAACTAGTTTTGGCTGGATGGGAGACATTTGATTAAAATTTCAGCTACCATTTACAGGTGACTTAGTAGTTACAGAAATGTTCTTCATTTATTTCCTTGTGTGCAATTCAGTAGTCGGTAACGCTCCTTTTTAATTTGGTAGTTCCCACTTCTGGGTTGGAGGTTAACAGTGTATTGCAAAATAACAGTGCTTCACTATTTAAATATTCCTGAAGTGTATGATTGGTAACTGTTGCACTAGCTATCCATATTGTTATAAATAGCCTTAAAATCAGTGTAGAAAACTGTGCATTTCAAGATTCATTTTTATGGGGCAAATAGGTTTCCACTCTAGGTTTTGCCATTTAAACAGGGGTTTAAGGGATGAGTCATGGCTCCTGCAATTGTTCTTTCCAATTACTACAGCCCTATACCATAACCCTCCTGTGGTTATGGATATATATGCAACAACATTAACCAGGATTAAGGCTAACCAGGTTCCCACCTAACCAAGATTATGTCAGACTCCAAGATACAAACCAGAAAACTCATGTCCTAAGGCTTAAACCGAGCCAGGTGGATCTATCTGGGACTGTACAGACCTTGGAGAAGCAGATGAAAAGAAAGAAATTGAATCAACCCCAGCAATTGACCGGCAGTGCTAAACCTCTAGATGTGTGCTACGGCTTTAAAGAGGCCACCATTCAGTTTTTATTTTTTGTTTAAATCCTGCCCCTCCATTTGACTGAAGTGGCTGACATTCTAGTTCATTAAAACATCTTATATTAAAACTCAGCATTAAAAATAATACACTCATGACTTATCATCATCCAGAGATAGCTAAAATGGTCTCATTACTTGAAAGACAAATGATCTCTACAGGAGAACTTGCTGTGCACTGTTTTCACAGTGACAGTAAGGAGAATGCCCTGTGAAATAGATACTGAATTGGGACTGCCATGCTCATGGTGGGTTTCCAAAATCCAGAAGCTTTATAACATGTCAACCTTGTTTCACAGGCTCACTGTGCGGTGCTGGTAGGTGAAAAGACATGGTGTGGTAGGAAAATTAGAAGTTAATGGCCCTGACTTGGATAGCCCAGGCAAGCCCAATCTCGTCACATCTTGAAAACTAGGCAGGGCTGACCCTGGCAAGTATTTGGATGGAAGACCTCCAAAGAATACCAGGGCAGAGGCAGGCTGTCAAGCCACTTCTCTGAATGTCCTCCATGCCCCACTAGGGAATCACCAGAGGTCGCCATGACTTCCAGGCACAGGCGTGCACACACGCACAAAATACAAAAATACCAAAGAAAGAAAGAAAATTAGAAGTTAATGTAAGAATGGCTGCCTGGGTGTAATATTTTGGCCATGTAGATGTGATGGGAATGTTCAGTGTGTGGAGATAGGAGCTGGTGCAGGATGCTGGTTAAAAAGATGAGGCTATGGGCCAGGAGGCTGTCAGCACCACAAACTTACCAGGTGGGCTTACGCAGGCTGCATTTTCTCACAGCATCAGTCCCGATCTGTACTGGCCTGCCTTACAAAGCTAGGATAAGGATTTCTGTGGCAATGTCTGCAAAATTCTCTGAACACAGAAATTGTCATTAGAAGGATGATAATAACGATGATTTAGCTTGAAATCACATTAAATCACATGAAACTGTGTTATGCTGAATCAGACCCTTGGTCCACCAAAGTCACTATCGCCTACTCAGACTGGTAGTGGCTCTCGAGGGTCTCAGGTAGAGCTCTTTCACATCACCTACTGCCAGATGTTTTAAATGGAAATGCTGGGATTGAACCTGAAGCCTTCTGCATTCCAAGCAGATGCTCTGCAAAAGAGCCACAGCCCCTCCCTTATAGTTTTTTGCTAAGCTGGCTCAATCTGAGGCGGTTTAAGGTTCCCAGGTCTTCCTTATTAACTGTTTGGGAAATGGGATTAAAGTTCTCGAATTCTAATGCAGCAATTTCAGGCTGGAGTCACATGAGCTGTCTTATAATGAATCAAAAATCAGTATTGTCTACTCAGACTGGCAGTGGCTCTCCAGGTCTCAAGTAGAGGTCTTTCACATCACTTACTGCCAGATCCTTTAACTGGAGATGCTGGGGACTGAACCTGGAGCCTTCTGCATTCCAAGCAGATGCTCTCCCACTGAGCCATGGCCCTTTATGGTTGAGTTCAGATGGGCAGTTTGAAGCGGGAGGGAGTCGTGGCAAAAAAGACCCGGAACAAATTGTTCCGGGTTTTTCTGTTCACACTGCAGCGACTGATGCTGGAGCATACCGGGGGGAGGCGCAAGGGAGCATTCACACTGTTGGCCTGGAGGCACGGCTGTAAGGCGCGGCTTTCCTTTTTTGTAATCTGGAGATATGCGCTTATGCGCATGAGCGCATAAGAAAAATTCAGCTTTTGGCGTTCACACTTTGTTGGTGTGGGTTGGACGTGGATAATCGCGCTTTCCAGGGTTTGCTACCACTTTCACCTGGTATCTTTTAAACTCGGGAGCGAAGCGTTACAAGACAGGTTGAGTACGGGTGGGGAACGCCAGGCAGATGTGCCTGTGTGAGCGGCCTCTTTAATCCGGTTGTGAAACGTTTCTCCCACATGCCTATATCGGGGCAAACTGCCCATCTAAACTCGACCTGTAACTAAGTGCATTGGGGCCAAAATATATACTCAGTTGGCAAAAAGGTTATCTGAGAAATAAGGCTGGATATTTTAGATCTATTCCACAGGTGGAGGTAGTTTTCCCAGGCAGAAGGAGTTTGGAGTCAAGGGAAGGCTACTTTAACTAGAGGAAAGCGCCCTCACTACTGAAAAGAAACCTATGGGATCCAGCTCTCAGTCCTTTAGTCAGACGGCCATAATTGTTAATTGGTCACTGTTTACCTTCTACTAGACCTTTGGGCCTGTTGTTTTACTGACATCTTTGGTCATGTGTTTTTATACAATGTTTTTTGGCCACAAGCCACCGTGTTATCGACAAAATCTAAACCTTTCTCTCAAATTAATCTTATTTTGTCTACAGTGTGAAAAGAGTCAAGCTCTATTTAGCTGTAATGATGTACAACATTCTTTTGATCCAGGTATGAACTTAAACAAGAGAGAACTTAATGAACATGTTGAGTTTGAATCCCAAACTTATTATGCTGCTTTTGCTGCTGAGCTTGAGGCCTGTGCCCAGCCAATGTGGGGGCTACTATCCCACTGCAAAGTCAGGGTAAGTTGAGTTCCACTCCGTACCCCCCAGTGGTTCGTCCATGACTGGAGATTTTAAAAAGAAACAAGCAGTACATTATCCTCTGTTAGACTTGTGTACTAAAGCCTGCTGTGGCAACATCATATTGTGCTGTGCTTAAGTCTTCCCAATGCAGTTGGTCTCAATATCTAGTTGTAGAAAAAAGAAAAGTTAGAAGTTGAGCATTATGGAGACATTAGCCAGTCCCTAGCATGAATGATGGACAAATTTACAGTTATTAATAGCCTTGTTATAACTCAGTTCTTGTGTATTACTTTCATAAATGTTCCTAAACTTAAAAAACTAGACAACAGAGCCTATAGAGTAAAATTCCCTTCCATATGTGCTACAATTGGCAGTGGGTCTTAGGATCCAAGATTCTTACTGTGCTTAGGCAATAACATCTAAATCTGGAGATGCCACATTTGAGAGCTCTGGGGGTTATTTTATTTATTAATTATAACATGTACAACTCACTTTTTTGGGTAAAATCTCCTAAAAAGCACAGAAGAGGAACAGAAAGTAAGCACCAGGATTGGATCAGGAGCAAAAGAGTGTCCTTAGTTATCAAATGCTTTCCTGAAAAAAGCCAAAAGTCAGCAAATACCGTGCTACTGACAATTACAAAGTCTATTTTGAATTAGTGCTCAGTCTTCCTCCAACAGAGGTCCAGATATCCTCCTGTTTCAGTGTCTTCCTCAGCTAGTTGAACAGATATTTCCAAGCACAAGGTTGTCAAATACCAAAATATTTATCCAAATTTCACCAATGAACGCTGCTCTTAGTGAGCTCAAGCCTTCCTCAAAAGTGAAAAGCACGTTCCGTGGGTCCTATTTTGATTTTGTGAATTCCTGAAAAAGCAGCATTTGTCTGGTACTGAAATATCACTAGAGAATAATCCATGTCATGTTCTGTTGGGAGGGAGCTCTAGAGTCTTGGCACTTTTTAAAGTCACATCTAGGGAGGGAAGGTGGCATGATACAGCCCAGTCTTGTCAGATCTGGGAAGCTAAGCAGGGTCAGTACTTGGATGGGAGACCGCCAAGGAAGTCTCTGCAGAGGAAGACAATAGCAAACCACCTCTGCTTCTCCACCTGCCTTGAAAGACCCTTGCTGGGATTGCTATAAGTTGGCTACAATTTGACAGCACTTTATATGCTCATCTATGGCCCTTTATATGTATGTCTACGTATCCACCCTGTGTACTTCTAACAGTGAAGACAGGCCTCAAAAGAATATAGGTGGGAACAGGTGGTCCTTCAGGAACCATGGGGTCAGGCTCTTTGGGACTTCATAATCCACCTTGAGTCCCAGAGAGAAAGGTGGGCTATAAAAGGGGTAAATAAATCAATTCATTTAAAGGTTAAACCAGCACTTTAATGTAATGTAATGTAAAGAGCCAGTTTGGTGTAGTGGTTAAGTGCGCAGACTCTAATCTGGGAGAACCGGGTTTGATTCCCCACTACTCCACTTGCACCTGGCTGGATGACCTTGGGCAAGCCGTAGTTCTGATAAGAGCTGTTCTTGAAAAAGAGCAGTCTCTGTCAAGAGCTCTCTCAGCCCCACCTACCTCACAGGGTGTCTGTTGTGAGGAGGGGAAGGGAAAAGAGTTTGTAAGCCGCTCTGAGACACCTTTGGGTAGTGAAGGGTGGGGTATAAATCCAATCTCCTCCTCCTTCTGCAGATGGCATAAAATTGGTACAACACGATCTTTGTGGCAGGTTCCTGTTAACATTCTGGCTGTTATATTCTAGATCAGTTGTAGTTTCCAGGCACTCTTTAAAAGCAGGTCCACACGGAGTGCATTACAGTAGTCTAGTCTGGCTGTAACAAAGGCATGAATTAGCAGGAGAATGGCTGATGAACAAGGTAAACTGGTAAAATGCACTCCTAGGTGCCATTGCCACCTGTATGTACAGATACAGTGGTGGATCCAGTACAACACCCAAGCTGTGAGCTTTAGTCAAATGGTAAGACAGGCTTTTCTTTCACATGCTGCATATCTGTCCTGATTTAGATATTCTTAATAATACTTTTATTCTTTTTCTTTTTGCATTAAGCTTCAGTTGATTACATGGTAAAATCCTCTGCAATATTTTCGAGAACATCAAAGGATGAAATCCTTCTAAAATTCCAAGGTTAACATTAGAGAATCATGACGTGCTAGCCAATTTAGAAGCCTTTCCAACTGGAGTCTTTCAAGATACTGTAATTCACTCTATAACTTCTAATTTGAGCCATTCTAGTAACTTCTCTTTAGGTAAAACACAATCCAGAGAAAAGTTGACATAAATTGACCCTAATATCCCAGTGTCTCATGATCTGATAGATATTGAAGTTTAATCTTTTAGATTCTTTTCGTGCCCTGCCAAAAGAAGAAGACTCACTAGTTTCCAAATTAGATGCCTTGCAGAGTAGATTAGTACAAATTGGGGAGGAAAAGACTTCTGTTCAAGAAATGGAGATAAGTGACCCTTTAATAAAAAAAATAGTAATCTAATTCCCTTGGATAATGCAGTGGAAAAATTAGGGGAAGATGCGCCAGATGATCCCGCCTTGTTACAAAACAGGTTTATTAATGTGCATCGGGAGATTTCTACAAAAAAAAAAGAGAGGAAGGTTACTCAGGATGACCAAAAACGACATGAAGAAAGTACTAAACCTTTCGTTCTCCTGTCACCGAAAGTCGTAATCTCCATTGTATTGGTACATCAAAATATTGGGTTTCTTTTAGACCTGGTTAGCTAAATATAAACCTTTTAAATTCTATCTTAAGCTGGAATTTAACAGGATTTAAAAAATGTTTTTCAGATCCTGATACCCTTCCCTGTCTAAAAAGTTTTGGTTGTATTATGATTTCAAGAGGCTTGGGTGTTAGAGGACATGCACCTGGAGGGATTTAGCTCTTATTTCATCCCCATGAACAAAACCAAAGGTAGACCTAGTGGTGGCTTAGTATGCTTTATATCAGATAAGTTTGAATTTCAGGTGTTCCTAGCAGTAGCTCCTCAAAACCTAGTCATGGTGGTCAAGATAGATTTTCTCTTCCATCTCCTTTATCTTCACCCTCAAACCACAAGGTTAGTGATAGACTCTCAGTGGAATTACATAATGGAGCTTTACTCTCGTTATCCCAAAACCATATTATTCTTGGCTGGGGATTTCAATGCCAGAATAGGGGCTAATGATACTGAACTAGTCCATTCTAACCTTTGGGACAAGTCTACACTGTATAGTATAGATGTCTTTGGACTTAGTTTCTTCAAACACTTTGGTGTAAATTACTCTGAAACCAAATTAGTCTAAATTTGAGTTTAGCAGTTTTACTATCTTTGCATAGTAAATAGCAATCTGACTCAGATGGAGATTTTACTTTTCCCCCCACGCAGGGGCACTAGTGGTGTTGATTATTTTCTAATTTTGAGGCCTAGTATGCATATCCTATGTAAGTTCTCAGTAATGGGTAGTGATCACTTACTTATTGAAGTATCTCTCCCTTCAAATCTATCTTCTTAAGCTTTGGAGCAGAGTGTTATTGTCAGAAATGGGGTATTAAATTAAAGGAAGATTTTAACTCCTTTATTAAATCCAAAGAAGTGGTAAAGATGAAATAAATGATAGGTACACCTGAGGACTTCGTAACTGTAATAGAAAATTATGAATCTTTGGTTAAGTCACTCGAAAATATATTGACCAAGAAAATAGTAGCACATAGAGCTGGGAAAAACCAAATATGGTTTGACCAGGAATTTTGAGAAGTTAAAAAAAGATATAAAAGAGTTTATGCAAGTTTGAGAAATTCCAATACTGCTCATTTGAGGCTATCATATTTAATTATTATATGTACATATAAAAAATTATTGAAAAGTAAAAAGCAGGCCTTTGCTAAGAATGAGTGGAACAGGTTGATCTCCTTGTCACAACGAAAAGATGGTAGGAATTGAAATCCAGATGCTTTGTGAACAAACAATTTAACCCAATTTCTTTAAATGATTGGGTGTGCTGTTATAGATCCCTATTTGAGGCACGCTCAGAGGTAAATAGTGTGTTGTATCAGATTTGAATATCTCTCACTTTCCAAACTGGCTTGATATTACACAGGGGGAAGTGAAAGAGGTAATCAGTAATCTGAAATCGGGAAAGGCTTCTGGAATTTTATTGTTCCTGAAATATTGAAAGAAAACCCAGATTGGTGGGCATCTTTTCTTGCTCCCCCTCTTTTCTAAAATCAGCATCTCTGGAATAATACCCAATAGCTGGAACCTAGCTGTAATCTCCCCAGTCTTTAATTAAGGCATCAGGACAAATCCGGCAAATTACCATCCAATTACCTTACTATCTATAATTGGGAAAATCTGTGCCCATTTTCTTTCAAAGAGACTATCCCAGTGGATGGATGAACATGGAATCTTGAAGCCAGCACAATTCGATTTTAGAAGAAAATGTTCATGTGTACATCATTGCTTTATTTTATCTTCTATTGCACAAGAGTACATTAAATGTAAAATTTATATTTCAGCGATTATAGGGCTGAGCTTTCTAGTGTTTGAGGTCATTCTATTTCTGTGCATCTTTATGCAGCTGTTCTTGTCATGTACCTCTATAGAACTTTGGATTAAAGATTTCTGTGACTATTGTTCCTGTCAGCTTCTAGAAATCCAATTTTGATAAATCAAAAATACTTATTTTTCAAATAAAAAGTTCAAGTAACCCTGGAAAATTGATGGCAAACTCTATTGACTTTGTCAGTCATTTAAAATATCTTGGGATTTATTTTAATTGTAATCATTCATGGACCATGCATATTAAATTGGTTATTCATAGGCTTCATTCATTATTATCTACATTGAGATGGTTTTCTTACTCTATGGGGGCACAATATATACACAGATAATTGACTATGCAGCAGTTCTGCCAATGGTACTCTATGCTATTCCAGTATGGGTTACTGGCCCCCTCCAATTATTTGATACAATGCTGCTGAAATTTTTTTGCAGATATCTTGCTCTTCCTCCTTGTATTGCCTCATCGGTAATTTGGCTAGAGCTTGGTCTTCCTCAGATTTCCACTTTAGCCTGGATAAAAGTCTTTAAATTTAGAACTCACCTTGCTGACCTAGATTCATTACCCCATCCTTTTTGTTTAGTTATAATTGGTTTTTCTTAATTATACTGGTTCAAGATTTGATTCAAAATTGGGCTTCCTGTTTACGAAGCCAGTTTTAATAAGGAAACCCCTGCCAAATAAAATCTTTAGACTAACCCAGGTAAAGATTTTTAAAAGAGACAGGTTTGTTAATCACTGATGCTAAATGTAAAAGGTCTCCTTTAAGCATCCCTAAACACAATGTTATAATGATAACCTCATGCTTAAGGATGCTTTTACTCTCCAGTCTTATTTTTTTACTTGATAATTCCTAAATTTAGATGAGCATATATGTTAGGGCAATGTAATGCTTTTAACTCAGCTGAAATGATGGGGCGATTCAAAAATATTCTTCCAGACAACTGCAAATGTGTTGTTTCTTCTCACCTACCAGATTGCATATGACATACTTTTTCATATTGATGCTATTTTTAAAAGTCCCATGATAAATATATACCTCCCTGGATTAGACACTTGGCAAGCATTCCTGATGTTCAGAAACTGAAATTCTTTTTTTCCTGCAAACTAAAAAATTGTATGGTGGACGTTGCTCTGTTTTGCTATATAATTTCTGTACATCTGGCAAACTGAGTTTATTTTAAGGATGCTTGGCCTCTAGGCTGTTAAATCCAGGGGAAGGAAATTCTGCTACAGAATTCTACTAGTAATCTGAACACTCGAAAATAATTATTTGTCATAATCTCTGTTGGTTTGTTTTGATTATGCAGTAGTTTATTGGTAGACTTGGGCACTATGTTTCCTGATATTCAAGTATATAGGGCATATCCATAAAGAAAGATTTATTACCCCCAGGTATTGTATGTAAGATGAGATTTGAAGCAGGCCTGAGGCCTTCTAGCTTCCTCCTTTGATAATGCACCATGTGGAGAAGGCTGTGTTTCCTGTCCCCCTGTCCCCCCCCCCCAAGTAAACACCCAGCCTGATAAAGACTTCTGGGCAATTTGAAATTTTCCTTACTGTGCTGTGATATTTTGGTTGTCTTAATGAAAAATTACCACAGGACTGTTGTCCATTGAGGAGGTCATGAGCAAAACAAGATCTCACATTTATTTGATATTCTGCCATATACAGTCTAGGTCTGAAATCCTATATTTAGATAAACAGGATCTCTAGATTTACTTGTTACCTTCTTCCCCTGTGGTATGAATGGCAGGGGAGGAGCTGGGGTGAAGTATGCAAGACTGAAGACCACTCCCAGGTACTAAATAATAAATCAACAGCCAACAGGTTTTTCTAGGAATGCCACACTGGTAGGCTGTCCTTTTGATAGGAATATATTTTGCTCTCTGCTTGTCAGGGCTGTTGATCTCATATGAAAGCCTTAAGTGAGGTAATACTTCCCCTCTTCAGTCTGATTAACTTACTTTTAATGACGATGTCTTTGTCCCAAATTATACTTTTACAAGAGAATTGTGTGAAGTTTCAACTCTTGAATCCGGTCAGTTTTAGATCTCTTAAGTGTGAAGAGATTCCTTTTTTTTCCATTTTGTTTAATATTTGTATCTAATTCCAGGAGACACAAGAGTACACACGAAATGTTGTTAGGTACTGCCTAGAAGCACTTCAAGACTGGTTTGATGCCATCAACTTTGTGGATGAGGTATGTGTATTTAACTTGATATTATGTGGATGAGAACCACAGTGAAATTCAGGCTCCACAGCGCCTCACAGTTAAAATAACACATCGTCTTTGTTATCCTCAGCCCCACATTTGTCAGCAGTTTAGAAATGCTGACGTCCTCATTTTTTCCTTGCGCATTTGGGGCTTTTCCTTGTTCTCAAAGGTAGGACATGCGAAGAATGTGCTTTACTCTAGTAGCAACATTTTTGGAAATGTTCTTTGGGATTTTCCTTTGCATTAACTTTTAAAAATCATTCTCCATGATCGTGAAGGCTGGATTTCTTTTTTTAATGTTAAGTGATTCTCAGGATTCTAATAAACTAGCAAAATGTTCATCATTATTAGATGGGGTTTATGTATGTGTGTGTGCTGGAGGGAGAGTCTTATACTGACTGTCTATCCACAGTTTTCTCCAAGGAGTTCAGGGTTGCATATATAGTTCTTTTCTCCTCAGTTTTATTCTCACAGCAATCCTCTGAGGTAGGTTAGGCCGAGAGACAGTGACTTCATAGCCGAACAGGGATTTGAACTAGAGTCTCTCCAGTTGTGGTCTGTCACTCTGACCTCTGCGCCATACCATGCTCTTTTTGAAGCATGCGGGTTGTGTGGCCCTCTCCCTCTCCCATAATCCCATATTAGTACTAGGAGTTCTATCTCAGTGCAAACTAGGCAGTCAGGTGACCTGCACAGTCCTTTCCCAAGCCTAGAAGAGGGGAAATAGGAATGAGTTTAATAGTGCATAAAATGGAGTTGTGTAGTGCATAAATAGAGCATAAATGGAATGTAAGGCGCTTAGGGCTCTTTAGCTTGGAGAAACGACGACTGAGGGGTGACATGATTGAGGTTTATAAGATTATGCATGGGAAAGAGCAGGTAGAGAAAGAGGTACTTTTCTCCCTTTCTCACAATACAAGAACTCGTGGGCACTCCATGAAATTGCTGAGCGGTCGGGTTAGAACGGATAAGAGGAAGTACTTCTTCACCCAAAGAGTGATTAACACTTGGAATTCACTGCCACAGGAAGTGGTGGTGGCTACAAGCATGGACGGCTTCAAAAGGGAATTAGATAAGCATATGGAGCAGAGGTCCATCAGTGGCTATTAGCCACAAGGTATAGCTAGGGGCTCTGGGGCAAGTGATGCTCTGTCATCTTGGTGCTTGGGGGAGGGGGGTCAACAGTGGGAGGGCTTCTAATGTCCTGGCCCCACTGGTGGACCTCCTGATGGCACTGGTATTTCTGGCCACTGTGTGATACAGAGTGTTGGAATGGATGGGCCTTTGGCCTGATCCAACATTGGCATCTCTTATGTTCTTATGTTCTTAATTATATATTTTGATCTCTCTCTCTCACCCCATTGCAGCCTACTCCGAATCAGGTCACTTTTCATCTGCCACTGCATCGGTACTATGCTATGTTTCTGAGTAAGGTAGGTGAATGTTTTTATTTCTTTGGAGAAAAGAAAGTTTCCTTTTGTAGGTTTATGCATTTTTATGTTTGACAAAATATTTTCTTGTTTTTGTTTGTAGGCTGTTAAATGTCAAGAAGTAGATCTGGATTCCCTTCTCCCAGACCAGGAGATGCTGATGAAGTTAATGGTTCACCCACTTCAAATTCAGGTAAATTACCAGCAATAGTGCAGGATATAGTGTACTTTTTTGTTTTCAATGTACAAAAATGTATGACGTGACCATCATAGCTAACACACAACTTTTCAGTTGCCTTGAACATGCCATTTTTCTGTGGAAGCAACTGATTGTGGAGACCATGCTCCTATGAGCCTATTATCTGGGTATTCTACTTATACATATTCATTTCCTCCCAGTAAGTTAGAAAGAAGCATTCATGGTTATCTATATTTCACTTTATCCAGATGTTTTTAAACAGCTATGAGAGCTGTACTAAAGGCAAAGGGATTATAGATTAATCCTGCTTTGAGCTGATGAGTTTACTTGGATAACCTGAACACACACACAAAAAAAGATTGCAGTGTTTTCCATACCCAGAGGGGATTGTGTGGTTTTCCTGTTGTTGCTGCAGCTGCCAATACGGCACAGCAGAAAAAGGGCTTCCACATGCCCAGACCCAAGTGTTGGCCATCCCTGTCACCCAAAACTACTGGGAGCCTTGTTTTGTTTTGTTGTTTTTCAAGTGGAAGTTGACATACCTATTGTAGTGTCATAACATTGAAAACAATCTGTCTGTTAGGTTTAGAAAAAGAGGTGCAGGAGCTCATTTGCATAGCTCATTTGCATATGCCGCACCCCCTGACAAAGGGCAGGCATGCAAGCATGCCTGGGTTCCCTGTCTGATCTTCTCAAGATCGGTCAGGGAACCCAGGAATGTTTAAAATGCCTTTCTTTCCCTCCCCCATCTGGGGAAGGGAAAGAAAGGCATTTAAACATGCTCCCCCACTTCACCGAGTTTCTCCACAAAAGCGGAGAGACTCAGGGAAGGAAGGGGACATGTCTGCATGCCGGCCCTTCCCTTCCCCAGCCAACCCGCCAAGGCAGGCTGGGTGGGGAAGCAAAGGGCAGGCATGGCAACATGCCTGGGTTCCCTGCCTGATCTTCTCCAGGTGCCCCGCAGCCGCAGGGAAACGCCCCCCCCCCAGCATGTTTAAAATGCCTTTCTTTCCCTTCCTGATCTCAGGGAGTGAAAGAAAGGCATTTAAACATGCCCCCCCCACTTCCCCGAGTTTCTCCACAAAAGTGGAGAGGCTCAGGGAAGGAAGGGGGCATGTCTGCATGTCTGCCCTTCCCTCCCCTTCCCCAGCCAACCCACTATGGATGAGATTGAGTTAAAAAACCTGGTGGGATCCAACCTCCAAATTTGTTCTCACCTTTTTTTTGCTTTCTTTTAAAATTGCGGAAAGAAAAAAAGGCAAGCAACAGATCAGTGTTTTGATTATAAATCCTCAAAGGGCGGAAAACACCTGCTGATTGTTTTGCTTTTGTCTTTTTCTTTGGTAGGCCAGCCTCTCTGAAATCCATAGTAACATGTGGGTAAGAAATGGCCTGCAGATTAAAGGACAAGCCATGACTTACGTGCAGTCTCACTTTTGTAACTCTATGATTGATCCCGACATTTACCTATTACAGGTAGGTCAGTTCTTTCGGGTGCCTCACCTGTTAGCAGAGAGCTGAAGAGTGATGACTAATGCATGTGTGTTTCTTTTTCTTTTTAACAAAAAATAGGTCTGTGCTTCTAGACTTGACCCAGATTATTTTATTTCCTCAGTCTTTGAAAGGTAAGGTATTGTATAAATATTTTAAAATTACATGTAGGCTGTATACGGGATGAGGGATGCTGTGGCTCCAGCAATTTAACAATCTCTCTCTGATTCGGTTCATCACAGGGATTTGGGGAAGCGACAGTAAACTTGGTGAATTATTTCCGCCATCCTAGTTCTGTTTTCCCCATTCTTGTGAGGAGGAGCATTTCTAATGCATTTTACCATTCAAGGAGTGGAGCTGTATCTAAAATATTCTTCCAGCTGGGCTTGTTTTTCATTGCTTTTCTTAGTAGGTGCAGTGCTTGGACCTCCTGGAGATAAATTTTCACGGGTGGGGGGAAATGTGCCAAAGGGAGACTTTAACAGAGCATGAGAACCTTTAGAGGAGTATTCTTATTTATGGGGAAAGAAGCAAAATAGGACCCTTTTGTCGCGGTCTGTGTTTAGCTTTTCTGATGGTTTTAACGTCTGGTGTTGACAGGCCATAGCTCAGTTGGTAGAGCAACTGCCTGAGACTTCAGAGAAAGAACAGCAAAAAATAAGTTTTATAGATAGATAGATTTGTTGCACCTTTCCAGTTTGACAACGTTAATAAATTCTCTAAACTTGAATTTTCTGCTGTAGGTTCAAGGTGGTCGATCTCCTAACAATGGCTTCCCAACATCAGAATACGGTGCTAGATGCAGAGCACGAGAGATCAATGTTAGAAGGGGCCCTGACATTTCTTGTAATTCTCTTAAGTCTCCGTTTACACTTAGGTAAGACTGATGGTCTTTGCTTCTTTTATTTGTTTTTATATATTTAATTCTAGCAATATTTGCCTTGTTATATAGTATAGTAGATCTTGAATGTCAGATGCACAGTTGCAGAGGGTAGATGATGGATATAGCATGCCTAAAACTATTTACTAGCAAAGAATATGCTTGCCTTGTTTCTCAGAATCTTGGTCTTTCTTCATAATGAAATATAAGCTCTTAGTATAACACACTCACACAAAACAAAACAAAACCCCCAAAGCTTAATACTGTGCTTGAACAATCACTTTATTTTTCTTAGTGTATCTTCAGTAATTATCCTTTGTGAGGCCGGGTGTAGTGATGAATACTGAGCCATTGTTTCTCACCTGGGACTGTGTTGCATCTTCGGGGAGAACCACTAGGAACAACATTTTTGGTGGGAGCATTTTGGGATGCACCCTGATATGGATAGCCCAGGCTAGCCTGATCTTGTCAGATCACGGAAGCAAAGCAAAGTTGGCCCTGGTTAGTACTTGGATGGGAAACCACCAGGGAATACCAGGGTCATGATGTGGAGGCAAGCAGTGGTAACCACTTCTGAACATCTGTTGCCTTGAAAACGCTATAGGGTCACTCATAAGTTGGCTGTGACTTGATGACATAAATAAATAAATAAAAATCGGCCTGCAGCAGAAAGTGGGAGGCAAGAAATTCGTGCTCCATGGGTGGAAATCCTTCTGTTCACAGAAACGCTTCATTGGTTTCAAGCCTTCATTTTTCACAGGATCTTGTATTTGGATGTCATTCACTGGGGACTGGTGCTTAATTCTAAAGGCTTCTGAAACCAGAAGGACTGTGAGAATTGGAATGGGGGAGGGGTGCATAAGAACAAACTGAAGTTTGTTATGATGTCTGAGTGTTATCTAAATTTGGGTTGAAATGGCTCTACATTTCATCTAGTGTTGATTTCACTGTCAATTACCCTCTAGGCATGACTGACGATGAGATCCTGAGAGCTGAGATGGTTGCTCAACTGTGTATGAACGATAGGACACATAGTTCACTATTGGACCTCATATCCTTTGAATCTCCTAAATCATTTTTGGTATATAGTTAATTAAAGAATTAGGGATCCCATTCTTTAGGTGGGCTCTTGAAAGAGATTTCCCCCCCCTCCTTGCCAGTGTATAGAGATGGGTTCCACATGGTGACTTGCTTGTCTAGGTTGAAGGCTGTGTGCCAGAAAGCCTTATAAACTAGGACGTTTAAGAGGCAGAGTCTCTCCTCCTGCAGAATTATTATGGATTGGAATACCAAACCTGAGAGGTACTTTAATCCTTGAGACAGACTGTTGCACCCCTGACCAAATTCCTGAGAATGATCTTGAAATGCAGAAAGAAATCAGAAAGGCAGCCAGAGGAGAAAGACAAAGGATATCCATAGAACTTCAGGTTTCATCTCTCCTCCAAATTCAAGATTTGTTGCTGCTCCTGTTGCATACTTATATTTTCTTGAATCAAATAATTCCAGAAGAGCCTTTACATTGGCAAGTTCAACTCTACCTTCCGCTGTTCTGGAAGGAAGGTTTAAATCAGTCCCCTATATGCATAGGCTCTGTTCTTGTTCTTTAAAGGAAATTAATTCAATGGAACATATTTTCTTTAACTGCCCTAGGCACAAAGAAATCCGTTTAAAATTTATTGAGCCGCTGATTGGAAATTTCCCCGGCAGATCAAACAAAATTAAACTTGATTATCTTCTGTCCAATGTGAACCATGAAACAACCCGAATAGTGGCTAAATTTTGTGCACAGGTGTACAAAGATCGGGAAACGCATACAGTAGCTTGAGTGAAATTTTTAAAGTTGCGAAATTTGATCATTTGATTTTATGTAAACTTTTGTATATGCTGGTCATTGACTGTAAAATAAAATTGTTGTTGTTGTCTTTTATGTGCCAATGGACTCCTGTTTTAGTCACGTGAGTGGAAGGTTGCCCCAAAACTCCCAACAAAATCACATTTAATTCCAGAAGGGGAAGCTTCTAAGAAAATGATTAAATTAGCCAAAACAGTGCCAAAGAGGTTCAGATCCCTTCAGGATTTTGGAAATTATTTAAATCCATAATAATAGACACTCCGAATACTTCAAATGAGGAATGGTACCACCAAATTGAAGGAAACACTAACATGGATCTATAAAGGCAAGAATCATCCCTTAAAAAGTGGAAGTCTTTCCCAGAAAAACAAGGAAGGAATACAGGCTGTGGGAAAACAAATGTAAGTAGATGATAAAGCAGGTAAAAAGAAAATGAGGAAGATATTGCAGGAAGCATTAAGGCAAAAGTAAGAATTTCTTTAAGTACTTCAGAAGCAGTAAGCTGGCCTGAGAGGTGTGAGAGCGCCAAAAGGGGTTGAAGGAGGGATATTGCAGAAAAGCTTTCACTTCAGAAAATGTAGACCCACACTGGTGGTACTGTTTTCAGGAAGAGTGTTGGAAGAACTATAAATCAATTAAATAAAAGTGATGAACTTCAGAGGCTTGTGGACAAGTTAAAAACTAGCAAGTCACTCATCGGGATCACATACATTCAAGGATTCTTAAGGAACTCAAATGTTGAATCTCCTCACAAAAACACACAACTTGTTGCTAAAATCTGCCTCCTTTGAGAAGATTGTAAAGTTGCAAATGTAACACCAATTCTTAAAGAAGAATCCAGAGAAGATCTTGGAAAATACATGACTTCTCTTCTTGGCAAATTGATGGAAACTGTTATTAAAGGTTGAATTATGAAGCATATTAGGGAAACAAGACCTAGTGAAGACAAATCAGCATGGCTTCTGTCCTGACTTACCAGTCTTTTGGAGTTCTTTGAGGAGGTTTACAAATATCTGGATTTGGTAGCTGTATAATATTTGGACTTGCAAAAAGGCTTTGACAAATCCCTCAACAATGGGTCCAGAGTAATCTTATCAGTCATGGAATAAGATGATGGGCCCTTTCATGGATTAGAAACTGGTTAAATAACAGGAATGAGAATGTAGGAACAAACCTAGAGTTTTCAAATGGAGGGAGGTAAGTGGTGGGATTCCCCTCTTTGTTTCTATTTCTGATGAAGAGAGAATTGGATTTGAAACTGTTGGTTTTTAACATTGCTCCATATTGCTCTGTTTTGATTGGGTCCTGCCACTTCAGGGAATAATCATACAACATGCCAAGTCATGGAGAGAATGATCTTGTGTTAGTTGATTGTTTACAATGTATATAGAAATTTGCTTAGAAGCTGCAGTGTATACCAAGACCCACAAGGGTGCAGTCTGGTATTATCCTTCTGGTGATACGCTGTTTTTGATTTAAAGATGTCAAGTGGGTTTTGTTCCTCTGAACCCAACAAAATGGTTAAATTTTTAAACCTAACCTAGGATTCAACATTGGTAGGGGCTGTGGGTAGCTGTAGTATATTAGCTTTCTTGTCTTTCAAAAATTGTGCTGATTAGGATGGATTTAATGCCACTAAATGTTACATTTATACAGTTATATTGTTGTGTATTTTGTATTTTTTGTCATAATGTCATTTTTATTGTAGTTTTTTCTTCTGCTATGTTAGTACTTCACAGGCAAATGTATGGTCAGGAATAAATACTCAGGTGTCTTTTCGATTTCCTAAACGATATGTGTACTGTCAGAAGAAAAAAATGATGTGTTATAGGAGTTAAATGCCATCCTGAAGACAAAAATTTTGTATTAAGTCTGACGTGATTGTTTTGAATGGGAATTTTTGTCAGAGACAGACCTCTTGTGGTGAAATAAAGCAATGACTTCAGTCCGCAGGGAAACATGTAAAGGGAAGGCTACTGGCATGTATCCAATCAAGCCAATCTGAACACTTAATCTTCAGACAAGATGGTGACGATTTCAACCAATTCCCCCCTCCCACTGTAAATCCCACTTTACTCCTATCTGTTCCTGAAAGCCCATTGACACTCAGGAACAAAATTGGGGGGGGGGGTGTCTCAGTGGGCTGTAGTTTGGGGGAGAATCTCCCTCCATGAATTCCACAGATGGTTCAGTACAAGGCACCGTTTCAAGTGGGTAGGAATAAATATAGAAGGATGTTACTATTTAAAAGATTCTGGCTACATTACTTTCCTTAACCTGAGGGTCACATTCCAGAAAATCCTAATCCTAAAAGTGGTATTGTTCCTGGAAGTTTAAGCTTTGAATCAATGTTGTCAGGTGTGGCTGACTTCAAAGCTCCTGTATTTGAACCTGGGGGCTCCATGCAACAAGGAATGTATACACCTAAAGGTATGTGAAACCTGTGTGATAGCCTGCATGTGGAATATATGCATCTCTTTTGTTAACTATCCAGCATGTTTAAAAGTGTTTGTATTTGGTTTTAAAATTAATACTGTTCTTTGCTTTTTAAACTTTTGCTTCTCATCTAGAATTCTTTTCCTCCCCCCATTGCTCAGTTTACATTTAAACAGGTAACACAAAATCTGTTTTCAGAATATCAAAAAATATGAAATAAGGACTTTAAAGAGTAGTTTTTGACTGTTTAAATCATATTTTTAGAAGAATAGCAGCAATGATGGAATTATGTAATAAGCAAATAACATTGTTTACTGCTAAAAGCCTACATATGGAGTAATGAAAATACTGTCAAATTTTGAAAGCTTTCTTGTTTAAAGTTCTGCAATGTATTCCATATTTATGATAGATATCTTCCATGTTTTTTAACACTAGCTGAAGTTTGGGATAACGAATTTGACCCTGTCATGGTAATTCTTCGCACCGTTTATCGTAGAGATGTGCAGTCTGCCATGGACCGATACACAGCATTGTAAGTTAAATATATATGAACTATAACATCTGAATAAATACTGCATTGCATAATAGTTTAATGAAATGCCTTTTACAGAGAATATTTAGCTGTTCAGAAGCCATAATTTGTCTTTGTGAAAAGGTTGTATAGAAGTAGTTGGAAGGAGATGACGATGTCTGCATTATAAATACGGTTTTTAAACAGAGCCATATAAATTGGATGCTTTTATTGTGGACTAATTTATATATAAAAATAAAGTAGGGATGTCCACTGCCTTTAGTTTTTTTAATTGCTTCTGCCTTTTAAGCATATAAACTGGTTGATTAAATGTTCAAACTGAACTTCTTCTGCATACTTCCAAATGCTTCATGCAGCTGCATTTTTGAAATACTGAAAATGAAACAAAAGCATATAGGTTCTTTTATATTTCCCTTTGCAGCTGTTAATAGCAGTTTTGTGAGAAAGGCAGGCATAAATATTTAAATAAAGTAGTGCTACATTGTCTAGTAGAAATTCTCCTAACAGCTCTGTAATGTAGGACAGTATTATTATCTCACTTTTGTGGGTGTGGGACAGAGGCTAAGAATGGATAGTTAGTTTGTGGTGGACTGCAGATTACAGCTGGTTCTTTTAGCAACCTCACTATACCAGCTCACAAAAACAGCCTCAGAAGGCATGTTATAGAATGTGTTCATGCCAACTATTTTTTTTCGGGCTAATTAGTTACCAACTGTCTCTCACCAGTTACTTTGTTGATCTTGGAGGAAATGCCGTTTTCCCCACATGACCCAACCTCCATTTGTTAAGAGCTTCAAATCCTATCTGCCCCAGGACATTTAGTCAATGGGGTAATGAGCTAAAATGTCACCAAAGCACACCCAGGACATTTAGTCAATGGGGTAATGAGCTAAAATGTTCTTGATTGTGGACACTGTTCCAGTGAAGGTACATTTGAGCTGCTCTCTGCTGTCATTAGAAAGACAGATAGAGACTCTCCTCTTCAGACATGCTTTTGGGCTGTGAGCTGATCTATTTTTATAACTCTGGCATTGTGCCCTGTTCTTTTTTTGGTACGTCTGACATGAGGAATTTATTAAAAAGATGGTTGATATGTTAAAAAAAATGTTTATTTGGGGGAGGGCCATAGCCTGGTCCAGGAGTCTGTTCCTGGGTGAAAGACCCCCTTGCAATTATCAAACCCCTGCAGCAGAGCAGTAATACAGGGTATGACATGTAGTGCAAACCATGTCAGCTGTTTTTAGAATGTCCCTTGGATTTTTTTTTTTGTCTCCCTTTGATTTTCTTTTGTCCTGATTATGCATCCTGATGAATACTTCTGGGGAGCTCAGAATCTTGCACACTGTTTTGTGATATTTTTGTTGGTGCTAATAAAGAGGGTGTTGAATGGTGTTTGTTTTTGGAATTTTTTCTGTGAACCAACAATGTTACTCACTTTGTCTATTCTGGATTAGTGGGTATGTGTAAGGAGGAAATACATACATATATTTTAATGCTCTTAACTGGTATAAATTACATAACTTGTAGTTTTGTGTTTTTTTACTAGTTCACTTGCTTGAAAGTGACATGTCAAAATGATGAATTACCTGCAATCTTGGACAAATACATAACCTTTTCATTTTTAGTGAAATGAATAATGTGTTCTTTGAGGCCATATAAGAACAAACGGAAAGCTGACCTTTTGAGTTTTTTTCTCCTGTCCCCCGTTTCCCCCTCCCTTTCTTCTCCCATTCATGAGACCTTAAGATACTAAAAATGGAGAACGCTGCCTAACTTCAACTTTATAGTTGTTCCTTGTTCACAAATAAAAAAGTTTCCGATATAGAACTGTTCCTTCTTTCAATATTTTCATTGGAAGATATGCTGAGAACACAAAGAACTAATTTGTTTTTAGTTTCTTCACTTCCTTATTTCTGCTGTCCTTTTATCACCTGTAACTTAAAGGCCTCTTTGAAGGTGAAATGCCTTTGGCTGAAACTCACTGTGGCAACCATGGGGGAGTATTGGTTTATGCAGCTGTTATTTCTAGTGCCCTTGTAAAAAAAAAAAAGAATTCTCCCCCCTAGTCTTGGAACATGGCCCAATGATGCTGATTACTTAATCTTGGGTAAGAGGTTGAAAGTAGGCCATGGAGTTTGCACACATCCATCTCCTCCCTTCCTTTTTTGGTGTTTTTACTGTGGAATCCCATTACATATTGCACCAACATTAACATTAAGCATGGCTAGATTAAAACTAGAATTTTTAAAAGCTGTTTTGCAAATTCTTTTTAAAACTGGCCATAGTAGTACTATTAGATAACCACTGAGCACATAAGAAGAGCCCTGCTTGATCAGACCAGTAGTCCATCTAGTCCAACGTCTTGTCTCACACAGTGGCCAGCCAGTTCCTCTGATTGGCCAGCAACAGGGCATAGAGGCTGCAGCCTTCCCCTGATGTTGCTTCCTGGCTCTGGGATTCAGGGGTTTACTGCCTCTGAATGTGGAGGTTCCCCTAAATCACCATGGCTAGTAGCCATGGATCTATCTCCATGGATTCTCCATGGATCTATCTAATCCCCTTTGAATTCTGTACCATAGGTAGTGTTGAAATGGATAAGGACTCGGAGTGGGGAAGGAGCAAACTTTGTCATTTTTTTAGCAGTGGAGCATTAGCACTGTACATTCCGTGCTGTAAAATGTAAACACGCATTCAAAATAATGCATCACGGGACCCTTGGGAATTGTGCTAATGGAATGGTGTAGGCCTTGCTGCTTCAGAGCAATTTGTAGCAGCAGTCGGCTATCCAATCCAGTGGTATTGGGATCTGATTTAGAATAAAACAGGTGTGCTTTCAGTATTTTTCATGTGTCCATTTTCCAGTTCAAAGAAAGCAGTTTGGAATTTCCCCTAGAAAGGCTGTTATGTATCTAAAACAAATGCAATAGAAAAGTATTGTTGCCACCTGATCCTTCTACTGTTTGGTCTTCATTCAGTATAATCAAGGTTTCAAGAACCAAGAACTCTAGAACTCCCGCTTGGAAACTGGCAGTCTTAAAACTGACATGTATAAATTATATTTATTTTTTAAAAAGTTTATACCACCTTCCTTCACAACATACTTCCTAGAGGGGTATAGTTCTCAGTTCTGTCATCTGTAACATTTAAATCTCTTCCCCCCCCCTCCATTCTTCCAGTTTAAAGCAAAGTGGAAAATTTCATGGGAACCCCTGGCCTCCATACAAGAAAAGAACTCATTTGCACCCAAGCTATAAAGGACTCCTGAGGCTCTTGCACTGCAAAACTTTACACATTGTGTTGTTCACTCTACTTTACAAGGTACTACTGAATGGGGATCCCTCCCCCCGGTATTTTCAGGCTGGAAATAAATGGCCAGCTTCCAGGTTTATGAATGTGGGTCTGTGAAAACTTTCGGTATATTTTTGAGTGGGTCTCCTTCTCTCTGTATTTACAAATTAATATAGTGTATTTGTTATTTTTATGACTCAGATGAATGGGACATAAGTGGATTCATTTAAGCACTCCTGTATGTGCAACTTTTTTATTTCCAATAAAAATCATGTATTCATATACATATGATAAAGAAATGGAATAAATCAGAATAACAGCAGATGAGTAATTTGTGATAGTTTTTAGATTTCCAGATCTGATTCAATATAATTGAAATAAGGCTTTTTATCCTATATATGCAACTTCTACCGAAAAACAACAACTGAATTTGCACTCGGTGATAATCAGTCTTGGAAAACTGTTTCTAACTGAATTATTTCAGTGAGATAAGAGGTCCGTCCATAAATATCACATTTTCAAAGTTCAGTGAGACGGACTATAAAAAGATAAACATCAATTTACACCAGTTTACTATCTGATCTTAACTATCAAATCCTACCTTATCTATCAGATTCTGTCATATCTAACTGTAATTATATTATTAATTTACCAATCCTAGATACACCATAACATCTCATCTTGAACATTAGACTTAGGATACTAACCATTCCAATATTTAGTACAAGGTAACCGAACCTTTGCAAATTTTTTAGTTGCCAAAATTTACAAGATGGCATATATTTAAACAACATTAAGAATTCTTGTGTGATTTCCAATGTTCCAGCCATGCTAATTCAAACTAAATTAGCTGGACAGACTAGAACTTAAAAAAAAAATTCCTGTGGTTTTTGTGCAGCCTTCTTTAAGAAGGAATTCTAAATATTTACTCTTCAGAAATAGAAATTGTACCTCTTTTGCCATAGTTGATAAATAGCTGCATCTTTCTAACTGAGGGCTGTTTTATAACTAAAATGTAGATGCTGTGAAAATAAAGTGGCAAAATCTAGCCTTTTTTCTGTGACCTGAAATAGAAATTTGGGGAGAGGAAATGATTGAAAGCATTTCAGAATGAACACTGAAGGTTCTTTTATGAGTTATGGAATCTCATAGATTTTCTTTAGTACTTGGAATCCATTTCTGGGCGTTCACAGTAAAGTTACTGTATTAGAATTTTGCACTGTCACAGACTTAAAGAGTTCCTTGTGATTGTCTCCCTATTATGGCGCATAATACAAATACACATAATACAAATCAAAAGGCATTAATGAATACTGGCTACAAGACAAGCGGGCTCTCCTACTTGTTCATGTTTTTAACAAGGGGAAAATTGTATATATATATTTTTAGATATTAATGGATCATCAAAACCTATCAGAACATGTCCTTTGCATGGTTTTATATTTGATTGAACTGGGACTAGAGAACCCATCTGAGCAAGAGTCTGATGAAAACGTAAGTGCGATTATTTTTATTCCAAACAATTTGAGTATATAAAATTTGTGCTCTTTTTTGAGCCTTAAATTGGTTTTTAATTCACTGTTGCTGGGTGAGGGTGGGTTTAGAGAAATAACTTTGTTAGAGAGCTAGCATAATGTAGGAGTTCCATTTTTAAAAAACCAGGCTTATTGAATGCAAAATAATCACACCTTTGGACTGTATCAATCTCACTAGATTAATTCCATGCCTTAAAACATGTCTCCTTTCATTCAGAAATGTTTTATGTGTAGAAGGGAGCACGGCTGATTTTTCTTTCTTTCCTTCTTTTGCCATCAAGTTGCAGCTGAATTAAAGTGAGCCCATAGGGTTTTCAGTGCAGGAGGCGGGCAGAGGTGGTTTGCCATTGCCTGCCTTAGCGTAGTCTCCCATCCAAATAGTAAACAGGGTTGACCCAGCTTAGCTTCCAAGATCTGACAACATTGATAGCCTGGGCCATCGAAGTCAGAAAGTTCATATTTATTGGCATGTTTATCCACCGTACTGGCATGCTTCAATCATGTGCTCCAACCATATCCTGCTGTATTTTTCTTATGTTTGTCTGATGCGCCAGGATTCTGTGGGAGGACAAGAACGCTGCCATGATAGCTGGTTCCCAGGGAATAACTTGGTGTCAAACATGCGCCATTTTATTAACTATGTCCGTGTAAGGGTACCAGAGACGGCTCCAGAGGTGAAAAGAGAACCACCTGCAAGTACAAGTGCTGATGGTTTTGCTGCTTCACAGGTAAGTAGAAGGAAGTTTTATAGCCTTGAAAAGTGGGATTATTCTGACAGTTCAAGACCTTCTTATGGGCAATGTTGACTTTAAGATGTTTCACCTTCTGGTATTGAATGAAACTTTGCTAAAGATAGACATTTCTATATTTGATAGTATGTGTTTGGTGTGCAGTACCATCTTTTTTTAGGGTCTTTTAATGCCCTCCTTTTCCCTCCAACTCACCAGAATCCAAGGCGGTCTAAAGGACTTCAGAGAGAGGTAGACTCGTGTGTATTTTGCATTTTAATGGCAGTAGAGCTTCGATTGTGCTGGTCCTAACTTAGTTGCAATTCCACGGTCTTCTCAAGTATCACTTGAGAAACTGTAATCTTTGCAGATTTCTAATGGTAGGGTGTAAAAGGTACCCTGGAACTTGACTGTATTATGTTTTGGTTCTAAATTCATTGCACCATGCTGGAGATAACATTGTCCAGAAAATGCTGGCCTGTTATTGGAATAAATACTGGCTTGCTCTGTTTGAGTGTATGTGAACTTCTCTTGCTGTTACTTCTAACATTTTAATAATGCTGCTATTTGGCTGCCTCTTTCTCGATAAGCTTAACCTGTCAATCTTGATGGAAGTTATTTGAAATGATAAATGGTTAGTGTATTCATCTTTGTGAACATGTAATTAACTTGTTTAAATGATTTATAGCCAATACATAATAGTGTTGCCACCTTCTCGGGTGGACTGATGGGGAACAGCCTAACCGTGGCTCGTTTTCATATATTAACTAGGAGCCAGCGTGGTGTAGTAGTTAAGAGAGATGGACTGTGCTGCCAGACAATCCTAGGATCTCCTGGCTATACCACACACAATGCCATACAATAATTTTTAATTTTTAAAAATATTATAACTTATGGATGCATTGCTGTTGATTTCATTAGCACTGAGGCTATGCTAAAGGAAAAAGTTAGATGGAAGGCAAAGTTTTGGGTTTTTTAAAGGGAACTTAGAGAGGTTATCATATTTGTCACGGTGCAGGACTTAAAATATAGACATAACAAAAAATTCAGTCTATAAAATACTGCCCCCCCCAAGCAAATTTAAAATACTTTCAAACATCAGGCACACAGTTGTATAAGTGGTCACATTACAATTAAAAACATAATGGCTTGGATGTGGGGGCAGCATGCTGAGCTGGACTGCCAAATAAAACAGTAATCAATGGCACCTTTATGACCTTGCTGGACTCTATTTTTTTTCCAAGTGACATAGCTCTCCATTGTTTGCTGCTTCTTCCCAGAATGCAACTGCTGTAATGTAACACCTATGGCAATCAAACTGTGAATCTGTTAGCCTCTAATAACAAAGCCTGGCAAGACAAGGCCGCCCTGAGCTCGCGTAGCGGGGAGAGCGGGGTATACATTGAACTTATAAATAAAAAAAATAAGGCTCTTAAGATCCTGACCTGGAAAGTGCTTATTTCCTCCCTCATTTAAAAAAAAACACCGCTTATAGCATCTAGTCGAATGAAGAGTTCTGATGCACTCAAAAGCTTGTGCAATGTTTTGTGTCATTTGGGTTGGCCCTAACTAAAAGGTATTACATAGTTTTTGTACCCTTATGATGGACTCAGTTTTTTCCAGCATAAACTTTTGTGAGTCAGAGCCTGCTTTAGTATATGCGTAGTGAGCCAATCACACTCCATGGGGGGTGGGTGGGGGTGGATTACTCTGTCCATGAAAAAGCTCCAAGCCAGTTTGTTCTGTTTTGAAAGTACTAGGTCCCATATTTATAAGAATATAAGTATTCACATTGAAACTGATTCCCAGCATTTTAAAGGGGAATCAAGATCTTAAAAAGCAAAGCCTTGTCAAGTCTAAGATGACTCTTTTGCCACAGTAGTATTTTTAAAATAGCCTCCGATTGGCTTATTTTGGGCTGTGGGACTCAGTGCTTCCTGATTTCTAGAATGCTAATTGCCCTGACCTGGGTAGTGCAGGCTAGCCTGATCTTGTTAGATCTCAGGAGCTACATGAGGTTGGCCCTGGTCAGTATTTGGATGGGAGACCACCAAGGAATACCAGGATCACTATGCACAGGCAGGCAATGGCAAAGCAACTCTAAACGTCTCTTGCCTTGAAAGCCCTACAGGCTTAGCCCTAAATCGCCTGCAGTTTAATGGGGAAAAATAATTCTGAACCACAATTAAGCTTCATATCCACACAAACATTAATGGTCATGTTAGACTTAGTCAGGGCTATTTGGGGGCAGGAACGCACAGGAACGGCGTTCCGGCTGGCTCCCAAGTTGGCCACGCCCAGCAGGAACTCATTAGCATAATAGGCCACACCCAACAGCAGAAACTCATTAGGACTGGCTACATTAGGGGTGTGTGGCCTAACATGCAAAGGAGTTCCTGCTACAAAAAAGCCCAGGGTTTTGACAACAAACAAGGTAAACAGAATAACAAGCAAAAGGTGGGTGTGGCTGGATAACCACACTTCTGGTAACATGGGGGTGCGGCCTAATGTGCTAATGAGCTGTGCTGTCAGGGGTGTGGCCCAATATGCTAATGAGTTCCTGCTGTTGGGTGTGGCCTATTATGCTAATGAGTTCCTGCTGGGCGTTTTCTACAAAAAGAGCCCTGGACTTAGTTATGGCTGACCAGGGGTTCTTCAACCAAGATGCAGACACAGAGGAAGCTTTGGATAGTACGGTATTAACTGCTATTGGCGTTGGGGCAGATGTAATGCTTAATTAATGCCTGCAAGGGAGTAGAGGGGAACGTATGATTGTGTCATGCTTCTGATGTCATGACTTGGTTGATCACACATAAACATATGAAGCCGCCTTATACTGAATCAGACCCTCTGTCTATCAATGTTAGTATTGCCTACTCAGGCTGGCAGTGCTCTTCAGGTAGAGTTGCCAGGGTTGGGAAATACCTGGAGATTTTAGGGGTGGAGCCTGGGCAGGGGGGGATTTAGGGACGGGAGGGACCTCATCAGGATATAATGCCATAGAGTCCACTCTCCAAAGCAGCCATTTTCTCCAGTTGTAATAGTGGGAGATGTCCAGGTGTTACCTGGAGGCTGTCAACCCTATCTCCAGGGTCTCAAGCAGAGGTCTTTTACATCACCTACTGCTTGGTCTTTTTAGCTGGAGATGCCAGGGATTGAACCTGGAACCTTCTGTATGGCAAGCAGATGCTCTACCACTGAGCCACAGACCCTCCCTGATCATTTGGGAGCATGATATATATGCACCCTCCTTCAGTAGAAGTTGTGTCAGATCAGTTTAAATTTTTTAAAATTTGGTAAGAAATGCAAAGATTTTGTTTTGTTTGTTTTCTACTTTGAAAATGCTTCTCTAGGAACTCTTTGGCAGACTAGCTTTTAAATCAAAGTTAATTATGGCATCTAATTATGTTTTCCTTGTTTCCTTCAAGAATTCAGGGACAGCGCAAGTGTTCAGCTTGGTGGCAGAGCGTAGAAAGAAATTTCAGGAAATCATCAATCGCAACACCAGCGAAGCCAGTCAGGCAGTCCGGCCCAAGACTTCCATGAAATGGTCTGCCCCAGGAACAACACCTCAGCTAACAAATGCTATCCTGGAGGTCAAAGAAAGCATCTTGTCTTTGCTGGTTAAGCTTCACCATAAACTGTCAGGAAAGCAAAACTCTTACTATCCTCCCTGGCTGGATGACTTGGAACCGTTAATCCCGCAAGAAAACCCTAAATATTTTCACGGGGATGGAATGACAGCTGTAGAAAGGATATTATTGAAAGCTGCGCTTCAAAGCAGATTAAACAAACATATCATTGAGGAAATATGTAGTAAAGTGACTCCGCCTGTACCCCCAAAAAAGATTAGTCCCACAGAGAAGAAGACCTTGGACAAAGAAGAAAGGTAATGTACAGGAAAGAAGTTATGCTTCACCATATTTTGAATGAATGAACTTCCACCTTTGATGTAGGTTTTTCCCCCCTGAGGGTCCTCTGTGGATTTAGAACCCCTGTTAGCAGTTAGATTATCATTAGGCTAATGCAGTGGTGGGCATTGCTTCCTTTTGGACATGTAGTTTACAGCCATGCTGGTCCAAAAGTAAATGTCCAAAACATCATCACTGTAATACCTTTATTAGGACAAGGGGTCATTTCCTACAGAAGCGCATAGGAGCAGAGCTCCACCAGTAAAGAGCCCAGGGGGCGGGCACATCCAACAAGCCCCACCTCCTGCTCCCAGCAGCCCTCAGTCAGAGCAAGAAGCAGCCAGGTAAGTTGCAGAGCCCCGCCCCCCAGTCCAAAACAGTCCAGTGGCACCTTTAAGACCAAGTTTTATTCAGGTACAAGCTCTCCCTCCTCTGCAAGGACAGATCTGCACGTCCCCCCCCCCCAATAGCTAGCAATCCAAAACAGTTCAGTGGAGCCTGAGCGGTGGGTGTTGCCTTCTGACGCACTTCTGGTGATGTCAGGGGGTGTGGCATATGCAAATAAGTTACGCTAATGAGCTCTTGCACCTCTTTTTCTACGAAATGACCTCTGATTAGGACCAACCAATGACATACAATGACTGTGTACTAGCTTTTTAGTTCTCCTCCTCCAAGATATCTCTGTCGTCATTAATTTTCCTCACCAAAATTCCACGTTTTTATTTTCAATGGCTTTCTTAATAATCCCCTACACAGAGTTTACCATAGGTATTCTCATATAAGATTAATGTCAATTAATGATGAGTAGTTACAAGTCAAATAAAGCTTGCACATAAAGACTATTGTCAGTATTACAGAATGATTTGAAAAGCAGAGGGTTGAGTGGAAAACCAGTTCACACTTTACAAAAAATTTCTTGTGGGCTTCAGTATTCTGGCTTTGGGCTGCTTTCAAAAAGTAATCAGAAAATGCAGTTATGCTGAGATATTTCTTGTAGAGCATTGGAATTTTTTTTAAAAAAACCCATTCTAGGGATTTTGATGTGATTGTCTTTTAGAGAGTAACAGTATAAGACTATATAAGAATGGTATTTAACTCCACAAAGACTGAGTAAGATATTTAATACTAGCATCTCTGTGTGGGAAAGGTAGGCTTTGAATGTGTGTGATAGAACTGTAAAGAGGTGCACAATCTTACTGGGCTTCCAAAGATGCCTGACCTGTACACTGGAAGAGAGCCATTTCCTCTTCTCGAGCAGAGTGGTTTGTAAAAGTGTGGAACTCCAGTGCTGTTATCATAAGTTCATCTAATGTATGAAAATCTTTCTGATGTTTTTCTGTCACAAAGAGCAGCTCTGTGGGATCCTGAGGGAAAGCTGAATTGAATTGACTGAAATTAAATTCATAGAATACAATCTTGAATCCAGTATGAGTGCTGCCTTCATGGAAATAGTTGTAATGGTTCTGTAAAGTCTGTTCTTCATTCTGTTCTGTGGATTAGCTCAGAAAACTTTGTTCTTTAGGTGGCTATAGACCAGAACTTTCTCAAACAAAACATTTCATTACATAGTACCATGGCTTTAAAAAAGGGGGGGGGAGCTACTTGACATTTTTCTTAAGTTTTGAATGATAGTAAAAGAATGTGGGCTGAGAATGGATTAATAGAATTTGGAAATGAACTACAAATAAAGGTTTACTGACAAATGTGTTCATATAACCTCTGTAAGTAAGTGCTTACATTAGAGCAAATACAGCTTCTCTATTAGAGTTTTGTAATATTAATTTCCCATTAAAATACATTCTCCATGAGTGAATGAATGTTAATTTTAACTGGATGTAGCAAATATATTAGTTTTCTAATTAGGGGCTCCTAGTTATTGGTGTAGGGGCTGTGGTGGCTCAGAGGTTAAGATGCTGAGCTGCAGACCGTTAGGTCTGTAGTTTGACAGTTCAAGATCCTAATGCCGCGTGATGGAGTGAGCTCCTGTCTCTGGCCCTAGCTTCTGCCAACCTAGCAGTTCGAAAGCAAGAAATTGCAAGTAGATAAATAGGTATCGTTTTGGTGGAAAGGTAACAGTGTTCTGTTCACCTCAGTGTTCAGTCATGCCGGCCACATGACCACGGAAACGTCTTTGGACAGCGTTGGCTCTTTGGCTTGGAAATGGAGACGAGCACTGCTCCCTAGAGTCAGATTCGACTGGCTTTCGAGCAAGGGAAACCTTTACTTTTAGTTATTGATGTATGAAATATGAACACATTTTTGTAAGGAAATAATATGATTTTTTTCATTTCTTGAGGAACTGTCTGTCCACCCCACCCCCACGCCACTTCATCATTTTCCCTTCATGTACTCTGTGTTCCTGTTGGCCTTGTGGAGATAGTGCCAGGGGGAGGACAGCCACATGGTAATCAGATTTCACATGCTGTGACCATGCTGAAGTATTTTGGGGAGCCTCCACATGTACCACGGGGACTTAATTGTTGATCTGTCCCTTAGTAAAAAATATTAATAGTCTTGCAGTGTTAAAAGGGAGAATACACAGTTTGAGTTAGAAGTATAGCCACATAAAATATGTGTGGACTGTATTAAGTATATGTTTTTTTTTAACCTCCTTAAGCAATACCTAAGCAAGGTAAAGATGCCTGAGTAACGTCTGAGCCAAGATATATATGAAATGTAGAATAAACTAATAGTTGTTGATGTTGGCTATCCCACCACTTAGGGTGGCCTGTCTGGCATTGGCCAGAACCTGGGTCTTTTCCATTGTGACTCCAACTCATGGGGGGGGGGACCCTCCATGGAAATCTTCAGGAGGCGTTGCAAGGCCTGCCTGTTTGCTAGGGCTTTTGAGGCCATTTGAATGACAGGCATCTCACCCCCCCCCCCCTTTACCTTTTAGCAGTTGTAGCAATCCTGCTCACGGCTACCCATCAGCAGTGATGTGAGGAATTTTGCATTTCCTGGCTGTTAGTTCTGATGTTGAAGCTGCAGCAGCTACCAAAAAGCTGATAAGTTGAAATACCAAAGAGGAGAGCTGTGTGGGTTTTCCCTCCTTTCTTCTGTTATACTTCTGCCTTCAGCTGTCACTCACCTAACCAGGAAGCTGGGGAACTCAGACCTTGCTGCTGAGACTGGAGGTGGGGGGACTTGGCAGGAATAGCGGGGTGGGAGTAGACCCTGCTGTTGTTTTCTTTCTGCTGTGCTAATTTTAGGAGGATAAATGTTATAGTATGCCTTATATCCAGTGTCTTACAGGGCTGTAGTTAAGGAATATGTGTTAGCTTAATCTGTTTGCATTGCCTTAAAACACACACACACACCTGCACACTCTTTTAAAACTGCATTGGCTGCGTGTGATAATCCGTACAATCCAAAGCTTTTGAAACATGAGTTTTGTTACATATGTTGTCATGAAAATTGGAGTAGTTGTGTGATGTTGTTTACTTGTCAGAAGGGAAGAGTTGTGTGTGTGTGCAGGCATGCTGCTTTCACTTTTTTCCTTGAATTGAAGCCTTCTGAAAATTATTTAGCAATCTTGCTTGTTAGAAAGCTAGCATTTCAAGAAGTTAGTGTACTGGCATGACAAACAAACTACATGAATACGGGAAAGAAGATTCAGAGATGGTGTTTTGTTTTCAGGAAACTGCCAGCAACACCGCTTGCTTGAGAATAAATCTTGTTGCGCCTTCTGATTTTTTCCCAGGTTTCTGGTAATGTTCTTATGAAGTTGGTGATACGATTCATATTTAAAATAAAACACACAGTTAACTCCGTATTTGTCCTGACCTGGATGGCCCAGGCTAGCCCGATCTGGTCACATCTCAGAAAGCTAAGCAGGATCAGCCCTGGTTAGCACTTGGGTGGGAGACCACCAAGGAAGGTCCAGGGTCACTTCACAGAGGCAGGCAGTGGCAGTCACCTCTGTTTGTCGCTTGCCTTGAAAGCCCTATGGGGTTGCCATAAATCAGCTGCGTCTTGATGGCACTTTCTACCTCCAGCACCCTCTTTAAGCAAATCCCATGTAGAAAGCCTTTTAAAATCAGAAATTCGGAATATCCCCAAACCTATGTGATTTTCTGTTCCACAGTGTTTAGGAATGGTGGCATGGAACTTTTGTTGTTGTTTCTTTTAAGCAAGTGGGGCATCCTTCTGAAAAGCATCCAATTACTGTAATTAGGTAGTGTCCTTGAGTGGAACGGGTGAGTCAAACTCTGAATGGGCAATTCAGTGTAATTTCTGAAAGGCACAAGATGCTTGCATAGATATGTCCTGAGTAGTTTTGTCTTGAACTATGACTCAAGGCCATTAATTATGGTAAGAGTCAGAGTTGTGACTCTTGCTTGTAGAAATGCCTGTTCCCCCTTCCTTCTTTGGTAGTGTTAGAGGTACTGCAGCATGGTCTTTTTTTCTGCTGCAAAGGAATTGCCAGAAGGCTTTTGAGGTGTGGGAGGGATCCATGATGCTAGCTCCTCCCCCCACACATATACCCCAGCATCTCTTCTCCTGCGACTTGGTGCAGTGCTGGTGTTGAGAAGGAGCTGCAGTGTGGGCTCTTCCTATGTGGTGTGGAGCACCTGAAGTAAATTGGCCCCCACAGCATGAAAAGATCATGTGAAGAATGTTAGGTTTTGAGGAATGCTTGCCAAATGTTTGTCAGGATAGGAAGGTGTCAGGGGTGGGGAACTCAGTACAATAGGTTTTGTCTCACAGTGAATGTGGATCTCAGATTGATAAATTAAACAGTTTGCATGACACAGCTCCATTTTGGAGGAAAACAAAGTCCAGTTTTACAGTAATGAAGATTGAACAGGCTTGTGAACACTCAATGATGACCTATTTTCTAGTTCCTTCATCCTGCAAAGGCAAACTTGGCATCACCCACAGAAGTCGTTGCCATAGAAACCAAGGCATAGAGCTAGAGGAGAGTTTAGCAGAGCTGCTTGCGCAATATCCCCC